AACAATAGACTTTGTGGTCGACATATTTCAGTGAATGGACCACGAGGTTCAGTGACTGTCCGAGTTGTTGATCGTTGTCCAGTATGCAAACCTGTAAGTGAAACTGAGTGCTATAGGAATTGAATGTGATCTATCTTCTGTTTTAGGGCGATTTGGACTTGAGTCCAGCTGCTTTTGATCGAATCGCCGATCGAAATCAAGGACGAGTTCGTATCAACTGGAGATTCGCTTAAATATTCTGATAATTTGATAATTTTTTTGCTAAATAAATAATTGAATAACAAAAAAAGAAAAGGTTAAACAACGTCGTTGATATTGTATCGTGGTGGGTATCGAACCCACGCATCCATATGGATAAGAGTTTTCAAGACTATCGACTTAACCACTTGTCTACACGAAGGAATCAACATATAAAGCTAACCGTACGAGCAGAATCAATCCTATTCTTACATCCGGACGTGGTTAAGATTACTGATATTATCTCATTCGTCATTCAGCGAATAGAAATGTTATTCAAGGAGAAAAGACAATAACGCATGTTCTAAAATTGTAATAAGAGAAAGGAAAAAAGAAGACACGTAATTCGTTGTATTGATATATTTTATTCGTGTCAGCAACCATGTTCTGGGAAGTGCGGCCACTACTGTTCGGTCGGAAAACTAACGACAAACTCTATAATATGGACGATGTCTCAGTACAGAATGGGAAAAGATCTTGTAAACAATCGAATGGTACGCGTACGGGAGAAAAGGACAGAAAGACATACCAGTCGACAACAAGAGCATTTCGTTTAACTTCTTATGCTTTTTGTTCATACTATCTGTGATGTACTTTGATATGATGTTTTTTTGCGTTCTCCTCTGTATGCCAGAATATATAAACGCGTGTCTTGTATCATAGAACGATGCAATTTACGAGAAAGGAACAAGTATAGGCGTATTTTCATCAGCGCATACATCTATCCCATAAAAAATCGTTACACTGTCAGGATCAAATCGTCGATGGCTGTCGATTTGTCTCTATTTTTATTACAATAGCTTTTGCGTTCTGTTCTACATCGCTTTCAGATTTATTAACTTACAAATTACATCGAATCTCAACTAGCAGATATTTGTCTTCCGTCTGAAGCCTCCTGTTCGAGTACACTTAATAACCATTTGTAGAAAGTTGGCTTCATTTGATATATAAAATATTGTTATATATTTTAAATCTTTACGACTATTTAATTTAATAAAACGTTGAAGTGAAGAATGAATTTGTTTGAAAATTCATCACTTTAAAAATTCGCCAATGATTTTTTTCACTGGTAAGCGCCTCTAGGAATAATTGGATAAATTCATTGAAATTTTTTTTTGTGACGTTATAGTCTCACTTTGTAATACCCATTCTCAAAAACGTATATATTAGTGAATTGGGAGATGCATCGTCACATTGATTTCGAAGACTTACCCTGGTGCAAAAGTATAGTTGGTGAAGATGCTATCTAGAAAACGAGATTGAAACACATCAATTCCATGTTCCTCTGAAACAGTGTCAATTGAAAGGGGAACAGCAAGCTCAACAAAAATACAACGATGCACTTGGAGTTCAGCATGAAGAGTCTCAAGACAGTTTTGTTATTGATGATGGTGCTCTGCCACCAGATAAACCATGTGCTATAACAATTTCATACGTCACTGAACTGGAACTCGTTAAAAATAGAACTAAAATTCGCATTGTTGTTCCAACAACTCTTGCATCACGTTACAATACAAACAAAGAAGGTATCAGTTCGTTAGCAGGTATAATGCAACGAACACGTTCAATCAGCTCCATATACAATTGGACTTCATTGTCGCGTGGAAAACATTGAGATATCACGCGTTAGTTCCAGGTCACATCCAATTCAAGTTGATTAAATCAAGAAGATGTTCATCTGGATTGAGATGCTATCACTCATATTGAATTTGAAGAAAACCGACCAAATACAGTCCTTGCTATTGATTCAGATGCCATAATGACATAGACAGAGATTGAATTAATTCGTCAGGCCATGTTCTTATTTCTCAATAGTCTCTCGAGCAACTGTTATTATTTCAATATTCTTTGACTCAGGAGCATATATAAAAAATTGTTCACTGATATTACAGTCGTTTATGATGAAAACAATCGGGAACAAGCAGAGAGACTAGTTCATAATATGAAGGCTAATGTGACTGGTAGTGAACTGGTGAGATTGTTGAAATACGCACAGCTATAGGATTTTAATGAAAAGAGCTGATTCGTTTCGTTGCTTCCTTTACAATGGCTTGACGAACATCCACCCAGTAAAGGTCTTACGCAAGAAACTTTTTTCTTGCTGATGGTGAAATATCGAATGTTAAGCAAGTGCCTGATTTATGTTGTTGAGCGCTGAAGCCAATTCGAATATTTTCGTTTGGTTTGGATCATTCACCGAGCCGTGCGCTCGCCAAAGACTTTGCTAATACAATTGATGGATGTGATGTTCACTTACGAAAGGCTCTTGGACCTTGCTTTACAGTTAATCACAATGGAATGAGTGGTCAGCTGGCCTCCAAAGCACTGATTTCTGAATTGGAACATTTAAAATGATCTTCATCTGACAAACAAGATTCTACAGAAGAAATAATAAAGAAAAACATTGTCGACATTTCACTTAAGCACAAAGCATTCTCAGTCTATAGACGGATTCTATTAGTGTAGAAAAACGTGTTAATGAAAATAATGCTAACATGATCTTGTGTGAAGTGCCTATTCAAATATCAGCTGACAAATCAATATTGAAAATATTTAGACAAACATATGGAGAAAGTACGTCACAATCAGCATTTGAAGTTGCAATGGAATGCATAACTAAACGCTGCGGAGCATGACTATTATTACGCTCATGAATATTATACTAAGGAAAAACATCTTCTCCATCAAGTTTATGTACATAGGTATGCTGTGGAACAACGTTGTCGTATTACCGGAAAGCGTCAACAGGAAGGAATCACCTCCATAGAGGTATAATGTAGTTCGAAATATATTTCTTACGGCGCGAGATTGTTATTGTAATGCCCAAATTGACTTCTATGAATCTCGCAAGAATGTTATCAGAAATCTCAGATGTTGTTGTGTGATGACACAGTTTTAAGCTCTGACATCGACTTCATCGAAGCCCAACGCCGCTACGAACATGAGAAACAATCTTTAAAGAAGTCGGAAGATGAAGATATCGTTCGTCAAATCGTCAGTCAACAGAAATATGATATCCTTTTTCAGGCAAATGCGAAGAGAACTCGTCAGCTGATTAGCAAGTTATTGTCAGACTCCCAACCGATAGAAGAGTCTGAAAAGCACGTGCACGTCTTCTCCACATGCTGGAAAGTAACCAGAATAAACTTGATACTTTACTTAAAAGGATTCGACCACAAATATGAAAGTTTGTACCACTGATTTCCACAGTAAACATGAAAGTGTTTGTCGAAAATAAACGACCATTTTCAAAAAAAAAAAAGAATGAACAACATATGCGAAGATTGAGTGTGATCATACGAAAGCCGTTTTCAATATTAAGCTTGCCTTTATATCGACGGACAAAAGAAGATTTCTACATCTGGTAAAATTAAACTACAGAAAAACTTTTATCGGAATTTCTGAGCTTTTCGTCCATATTTTGGTTTTAATTGATTAACTGCAGATTGTTTAGGTAGTCTACAAAAAGATCTTGATTGCGTTTTATTGGAATATAATTCTTTCGGTACAGATTCTGTTGTTGATGACCATCGGACATTTGGTATCGTAAAATCAGAAAAAATACTATGGAGGGCCTTTGCTAAAAGTCTACACTGATCTTCAATGCGGTCTAAGAATCTTGAAAGAATTAAATCTGTGTATTCCTGGTATTTCCGATTTGTCGATTTTGCTTCTATCAATTCATAAGTGCCTTTTCTGCAAAATGCACCTTGAAACTCGATTGGAATCGATTGTAAATCATCATATAATTCCATCTTTTCATATTCATCAATATTGATCAACACTTCCATTGGATGTCGCTTGAAAAATAATGGAAATACACATTTATCCAAAATTGTATATGTATGATATCGAAACTGTGAGTTAAATATATCTCGGCGAGTGAAGATCACAGAGATGAGAGTGAAAACACTTTCGATCGTTCGAAAATCATTCAAATCATATTCATCTCTCGACAGAGATAAAACAAATTCAGCAGCGAGAGTTCGTACTTCACCCACATTCTTCACTGGACGATAAAAAAGTCGTCGGTTTCGATCTGTTGGATTCAACGAACGGAGATTTGGTTCATCGAGAAGAGGCGAAGGAAATAAATCGACACAAAGATAATCGAATAATTGAAGAACATCGAAAATGTTTTCATCCATAGACAATTCAGTGAAAAGAACATGAGGTTGTTGAGTGTTGATGGAATGGAAAAGAGGAATAAACCAACGATAACGAATGGGATGATGTAGAACATATTCATGTTGATCATTTTGAAGTAATGGAAAATTGTTCTTGTTTTCAACGAATTTGTTCAATAGAGGAAGACGAGTGAGTTGTTGTTGTGTCAATTGAATGAGTTCATTCGAAGGATGAAAACGAAATTTGTGCAGAATATCTTCCTTTGTTTCCAACATTGTTGAAATATATAGACGAGTGGTTTTTCTAACTGATAAATTTTCTGTTTTATATATCCAGTGTGTTTATCAGAGCAATGTAAAGGACAAAAACCGTGTACTTTTTTCTGTTTCTTTCCATTATATCCTTTGAAACGTGAATCATCGGGAATCGATTCGTTGGATTTTTCCTTGACGCTATAGAGTGTGATGTGTGGTCAGTGTCTACAGACTTTCTATCATTTAAAAGGGGTGGAAGAAATGAATTTCCAAAACCAGTTTTACGAGAGTCAAATCTCTTTGTATTATTTATATTCTAGTTGAGACTAATATTTCTGATTCACTTTGATCGTTCCTGCCATTTACCGGCGCAATAAACAACACGTAGATATTTCACTAAAAAGAATCAGCGTGAATAGATGTCGATATTAAATATAAGTAAGTTGATACCCACATATAATTTGATATCATATGAAATAAGTAACTGGGGAAAGAAAGGAAGTAGAGTTACTACTAATCGATTGACTCATAATGTGATATTGTGATGTGGGGGATATGACATCTGCAGGTAAAGCGTGTATCCTAGCGTAGGTGTTGTATGTCATTCACTTCCTTACAGATCTGTATAAATAAAGAGGTTCTGAAATGATTTTCTACACATAAAAATGCATTCCTCTCTTGCTCTATTCAGTATTGTTTTCGTAGCTCTTGTTGGTTCGCTTTATGCTCAATATGACCAACAGGAACAGTTGGCTGGAAGTGAACCAAGTAATTTAGCGCGATTATTACCAATCCTTAGCCGTCGAGCTCGTGCAACGTCTTGTCCTGCCGGATTGTGTTTATCGAAATGGGGTTATTGTGGTAACACAGCTGAGCATTGTGGTTCAGGATGTAAAAGCGGCCCATGTAAAGGTGGTTCGGGAAACAACGGTGGTCAACGAAGTGGGGAAGCAACATATTATGCTCGTAAGTATTTTTGATAATGAAATCAACTTGAGAGAAACAGAAATATTTATCTAAATAGCTGGTCTTGGTGCTTGTGGTGGATATAATCATGGAAATGAATTTGTTGTTGCTATGGCTGCTCCAGATTTTGATCCACACACTCCAAATCGTAATCCAAATAACAATAGACTTTGTGGTCGACATATTTCAGTGAATGGACCTCGAGGCTCAGTGACTGTCCGAGTTGTTGATCGTTGTCCAGTATGCAAACCTGTAAGTGAAACTGAGTGCTATAGGAATTGAATGTGATCTATCTTCTGTTTTAGGGCGATTTGGACTTGAGTCCAGCTGCTTTTGATCGAATCGCCAATCGAAATCAAGGACGAGTTCGCATCAACTGGCGTTTTGCTTAATTATTTAATTCATTTAAAAAATCAAACTGTAAACAAATCTTTTATCTGTTTAATTGTTTCTTATTATCAATAAAGTAATGAAGTACGTGATGAAGGTTACATATAGTTTTCGATTTCGACAATATTACTCTAAAAGAACCTCAATTTATCGTAACATAACTGTTATGATTAACATTATAACATGTGAGTGAAAAGATTTAAACCAACTTTCTCCTCCTAGAGGAAGTTTAATCGATGTGAAAAAGAAAAAAACAATCAACTCAGTGGGTTGACGTATATCTTTGTTGGTGATGAACAATCAATTTATGCTTCGGATTCAGATAATCATCGTGTAATGATATGGTTAAAAGATTCTGAAAGGGAAATTATTCTTGGTGAAAATGGAAAGGTTGACGGATCAAATCAATTTAATAATTCCAGTAGTTTATTACTTAATTCGGAAAGAGATCTTTATATTGTTGATAAAAGCAATTAAAGAGTACAAAATTGTTCATTAACTTCCATTTAAGCCACCCCTCCCTCCATATTCGAAGAGTTATGCGATCAAGAAGTGTCAAAAAGTAAGGGTCCGCGTGACGACGATGTCAGGTTCGTGTTAAAATGTAGTTGATTTTTTTCGGGAACGTTTTCCGAAAATATTGAGAAAATCAAGGTGAATGTTTTCGTTTTGGAGGAAATGCGGAACAAGTGCTTTTGATAATTGTGTGTTTTTGTCTACAAATAGATGAAGATTAAAGAATAGAATGCAATGCTCTAGAACTTATCAATGACAGAGAATCAAATGAACACATGTTGAGTCTTGTGTAAGATACTTTTTACTACTGGTCAGCGCTACTCCCGTCAGGAACTACTCGTTGACAGAGAAACCTGTGACATGCAGATAAAAGAAAGTGAGTCTCTTGTCCTTCAGTTTTTTATTAGAACCAGCTCATACGGTTTGTGACGACTCATATAGAACCTAGAAGGTGCTAGTGATATTCCTTATCGTGTCGAGCTCATGGAAAAGTTTGGCATCTACATTCAAACATTGTGTTTTTGAAAAGTTCTTTGGAGGCGGGTGGATCTCAGAAAAAAAACACTGTAAAACCTTCGAAAGTAGAAGTCAAGATCTCTATATAACTGCGCAAAAATCTGACAATTGATAATTTTGACGAAAATTTGCTTTTTCGATCCAGAGGGCCCTTAATAGATAAATGTTTTATTTAGAAGTAACCTAAATAATTGACACATAAAACAAATAAGGATCAGTTTTATGTTCTCACTAAATCCGTTGGAAAATTTCTATTTTTAGAATAACTGAAAAAGCTTGTGAGTTTTCGTTTGCCATAGTCTTAAGAAAAATCCTCTCGAGGAACATATGGACTTTGATTAAAGAAACATCTGCGACACCCACTTAGCAACAATTTGTATTTAAAGCGCCGTTGTCTCAACGCTCGAATTCATTATCTTTTCGTATCAAACAAGGTAAGAAATAGTTCGTTAATAATACTATGCCATATGAAGATTTATTTTCGTCTTTAGATGAACTCATCAATTCTGTTGTTATTCGCAATTGGACTATTAGTATTGGTCATGGGTGGACAAGGTATGGTATGCACACAGTGGGTATCTATGGGCACTACACTTGTGTTCAACAAACCAGGAACCTGCTATGGGCCAGAAATTCATGTATCTGGAAATAATTGGCGCCTATGCTGTGATCGTTTCGGCACCCGACAACTCCAAGTGGCAACACACAGTGTTATTGAGCCTCTTTTACCTACATCTGTTCAAGATCGTAGCTTAGTGAAATGTACTCGGTGGATGACTTCTACAACAACTTCTCGTATTGCATTGGCTGAAAATGCTTGTGAAGCATCATTACATGCGCAATTCATCGATGGAAGTTTGTGCGCAATGACTTGCGTGATAAGTCTCGTGTAATATTTAGGATAAATTGGTTGACGAAATGAAACAAAAATGATGGTTAGATAGCGTCGTTGATATTGTATCGCGGTGGGGATCGAACCCACGCATCCATAAGGATAAGAGTTTTCAAGACTATCGACTTAACCACTTGTCTACACGAAGGAATCAACATACAAAGCTAACCGTACGAGCATACTCAATAATATGATTATAAAAACGAATATTTCTTTGAAGTTATGCAATTACCGCAACAGAAAAGAAAACAAAAACATTTAATTCAATTTGCACATAAAAATAACGAATAAAAAATGTGCGAAGCACGGCAAAGTCGTTAGTTTTCCTGATGCATTTGGAAGAATGTTGGTGATAATGGATGTTGGTGAATTTTCGACACTATCAATCTCACTATCATCGTACAAAACTCCACAAATAATACTTGAATCCATCGTTGAAAACGCATCACCTTTGTAAACGATTCCTTTCTTCATCCAACATGTTCCGCCGTTCCAAGTTGTCCAAGTGAAATGAGTACAACTGATCGTTTGATTACATCGTTGGAAACAATCTTCAGATGATGTCCGAGCATTGGATAAATCATTATTGACAAAGTCACAACCGGTACCAACATTCTCATTCCATTGAATGTTATCACTTTCAACGATATTTATCAAGAGAAAAAGGAAAAGAGGAAAATGTTTGATCATTTATTGTTATTTCGATATGAAGGATGAAAGAAATGAAACATTTTATGATAAATATATGTCATAAGAAAAAAAAATCAATTGACATAATTATGAATATCAGATATCGAATGGTTTCGACGCAGTTAAGATTATTAATAATATCTTATTCGTCATTCAACTGATAGAAATCGTCCTCAAGGAAAAAAGATAATGACGCATAAAAAACTGTTCAGATTGGTAACAACAATAAGAAAAGAAAGAAGAAGCTATGTTTTCATGTTTTCGTCCTTGGTAATGTGATTCTTCTTTCTGTTATGTATTTTTTCAATTATATTTGTTTGTCGATTAACTTATTTGAATACATACGCAATTCCCCATGTTTTGCGTTTCTCTTGCTCATAAGCGTATTCATATAATTATTTTTATTTTATTCAACGTCATCGAGTGCTTATCGATAAGTGAGTAAATATTACGTTCGACATTATTCGAAAGAAAAACGTTACATATCATTAATATTCTTTATCAATATGGATGAGTTGATCGAAATGAATCGATGGCGTTTACAACAACGCCTTCTCAGTCGAGATGTTGACGGTATCAAGCCACTTGACCCGATCATTGGTTATGCACAAGAGCCTCTTCTTCCACTATCTGAAGCATGTGCACCATTGACGAATCTTGTGACAAATCTTTCAACATATGTTTATTTTGCACTAAAAGAAACCCCACTAAAACCATCCGATGGTCTCACACGTGATGAATCGGCAGCCATTCGACTATACACGATGGAATGGACTGACGGACAACGAAGTTTTTATGGCGTTCTCAATCACACTTTAAAAACAGCCGATCGACAGAAGTTGCAACCGTGGTTCAAATATCTGAAATTATTTCTCACTGCTCTGGTCAAATTGCCTTGTGCGCCACCACAAACCATTTGGCGTGGTGTTCGTCACATTGTTAATGATGAATTTCCTTGTGGTTCACAAGTGATTTGGTGGGCATTCTCATCGTGTACAACCACATTGAGAGTTTTGGAAAATGAAACTTATCTAGGATCAATTGGAGAAAGAACTCTTTTTTCCATTGAAGTTTTCAATGGAAGAAACATTCGTTCACATTCACATTTTGATGATGAGGATGAAATGTTGATGTTACCTGGAACTCTGATGGAAGTGAATTCACAAATGAAATCTGCGTCAGATCTTTGTATCATTCATCTGAAACAAAAAATACCAGAAGCAGTTTTACTCGAGCCACCATTCGAAGGTAATCGAAAGAGAAAATGCTTTTTTCGAATTACTACATGTTTTTCTATTCAGATGCGTGTCTTTACCCAAAGAATGAGCCAGTGAAAAATTGGTATCGTCAAAAGAGATTTTACATTCCGATTAGTTTGATGGCAATACTCATGATTGTTGCGATCGTACTTGCGTCTGTTCTTGGAACAAGATCGATTATGGATATGAACACACCAAGTATGTCTAACGAGCAATTCATTTAGTTCATTTCTTTTTCTTTCTTAGTTCCTTGTGATGTTAAGTTTCTTGATCAAACGACTTATGCAACCGGTACTCGTCCAATATTTCTTGTTACTGCTGATATTAATGCGGACACTAGACCTGATGTGGTGGTGGCGAATTCTGATGCGAATAATGTCGAAGTGTGGTTGAATACAGGAACGGGAAGTTTTACAACGAAGAAAACTTATTCCACAGATGCAAATCCCATTTCCGTATCTGTTATTGATGTCAATGGAGATCACCAATTAGATCTGATTGTTGCCAATTCAGGTGCACAAAATGTTGGAGTTCTTCTCAATGTTGGCGATGGAACGTTTCACAATCAAAATACTTATCCTACTATGTCAAATCCGAAATCAGTCACGACAGCTGATGTTAATCAAGATCAGAAACCAGATATCATTGTGACTAATTTTAACAAAAATAACATCGAAATTCTATTGAACAAAGGCAATGGAACATTTGTTTCTCATTCAAGTTATCTAACTGGTTCTCATCCGATTTCCGTCGCTTCAAGTGATTTAAATGGGGATGATAGAGATGATCTTGTTGTTGCTAGTTCAGATTCACGGAGTGTTGGTGTGTTTTTGAATTTGGGAAATGGAATATTCGATGTACAAATGATTTATTCAACAAGTTCAACACCTTTTTGTGTCATTCTGAACGATCTGAATGGAGATCAAAAACGTGATATCATCGTGGCAAATTATGGTGCAAATACTGTTGGTGTTTTTTTGAATAAAGGCAATGGAACATTTACAAGTCAAACATCTTACTTAACTTCCGAATTACCTTATTCTGTTACTGCGATGGACATCAATGATGACAATCACTCAGATATTATTGTGGCGAATTCAGGTGCCAATAGTGTTGGTGTACTTTTCAACAATGGAAATGGAACATTCACTCCGCAAATGAGTTATAGTACTGGTTCTGTGTCTTATCCTACTTCAGTAACTACTGCTGATTTGGATGGTGATAATAAATCCGATATAATCGTTGCCAATTCTCATACCAGTACGATTGGCGTATTTTTGAACGCTGGTAGTGGAACATTTGCTGCATCGTCAGTCTACACGTCTGGATCGAGCCCAAATTCAGTTTTTGTCTCAGATGTCGATGGTGATCATCTTCGTGACATCATTGTTGCTAATTTGGACGCAAGTAATGTTGGTGTTCTTCTCAATGTTGGAAATGGAACGTTCAAACCACAAATTACATATTCAACAAATTCCAATCCACATTCTGTTGTCGGAATTGATGTCAACGGTGACAAATATGTTGATCTGATTGTTGCAAATACTGATGGAAATAACATTGGTGTTCTGATCAATCAAGGTGATGGTCGATTTCCCATTGAAATAGTATATGGTACAGGTTCTTCGTCGCAGCCCATCTTTGTCACAGCAGATGATCTCAACAACGATCAATATGCTGATCTTGTTGTCGCCAATTATGCAGCAAACAACGTTGCTGTCTTCCTCAATAGTGGAAATGGAACATTCCCATTGATTCCATCAACTTATGCATCAGGTTCTCGTCCAATGTTTATCACGATTGTTGATGTCAATGGAGATCAAAATGGTGATCTCATCGTTGCAAATTATGGATCGAAAAGTGTGAGTGTTCTTTTGAACAAAGGAAATGGAACATTTGCCAGTCAAAAAAGCTTCTCTACGGGCTACAAATTATATTCGATAGCGGCAATTGATGTGAACGATGATCATCAACCTGATCTCATTGTTCCGAACTTTGATGGAGAAAGTGTGAGTATCNTTTCATCCATAGACAATTCAGTGAAAAGAACATGAGGTTGTTGAGTGTTGATGGAATGGAAAAGAGGAATAAACCAACGATAACGAATGGGATGATGTAGAACATATTCATGTTGATCATTCTGAAGTAATGGAAAATTGTTCTTGTTTTCAACGAATTTGTTCAATAGAGGAAGACGAGTGAGCTGTTGTTGTGTCAATTGAATGAGTTCATTCGAAGGATGAAAACGAAATTTGTGCAGATTTTCTTCCTTTGTTTCCAACATTGTTGAAATATATAGACGAGTGGCTTTTCTAACTGATAAATTTTCTGTTTTATATATCCAGTGTGTTTATCAGAGCAATGTAAAGGAAAAAACCGTGTGCTTTTTTCTGTTTTTTTCCATTATATCCTTTGAAACGTGAATCATCGGGAATCGATTCGTTGGATTTTTCCTTGACGCTATAGAGTGTGATGTGTGGTCATAGTGTCTACAGACTTTCTACCATTGAAAAGTGATGGAAGAAATGAATTTCCAAAAACAGTTTTACGAGAGTCAAATCTCTTTGTATTATTTATTTTCTAGTTGAGACTGATACTTTTGATTCACTTTGATCTTTTCTGCCATTTGCCGACGCAATAAACAACACGTAGATATTTCACTAAAAAGAATCAGCGTGAATAGATGTCGATATTAAATATAAGTAAGTTGATACCCACATATAATTTCATATCATATGAAATAAGTAACTGGAGAAAGGAAGAGAGTAGAGTTACTACTAATCGATTGACTCATAATGTAATATTGCGACGTGGGGGATACGATATGTGCTGGTAAAGCGTGTATCCCAGCGTAGGTGTTGTATGTCATTCACTTCCTTACAGATCTGTATAAATAAAGAGGTTCTGAAATGATTTTCTACACATAAAAATGCATTCCTCTCTTGCTCTATTCGGTATTGTTTTCGTAGCTCTTGTTGGTTCGCTTTATGCTCAATATGACCAACAGGAACAGTTGGCTGGAAGTGAACCAAGTAATCTAGCGCGATTATTACCAATCCTTAGCCGTCGAGCTCGTGCAACGTCTTGTCCTGCCGGATTGTGTTTATCGAAATGGGGTTATTGTGGTAACACAGCTGAGCATTGTGGTTCAGGATGTAAAAGCGGCCCATGTAAAGGTGGTTCGGGAAATAACGGTGGTCAACGAAGTGGGGAAGCAACATATTATGCTCGTAAGTATTTTTGATAATGAAATCGACTTGAAAGAAACAGAAATATTTATCTAAATAGCTGGTCTTGGTGCTTGTGGTATAAATAGCAATGGTAATGAACTTGTTGCTGCAATGGCTGCTCCTGATTTTGATCCACACACTCCAAATCGTAATCCAAATAACAATAGACTTTGTGGTCGACATATTTCAGTGAATGGACCACGAGGTTCAGTGACTGTCCGAGTTGTTGATCGTTGTCCAGTATGCAAACCTGTAAGTGAAACTGAGTGCTATAGGAATTGAATGTGATCTATCTTCTGTTTTAGGGCGATTTGGACTTGAGTCCAGCTGCTTTTGATCGAATCGCCAATCGAAATCAAGGACGAGTTCGCATCAACTGGCGTTTTGCTTAATTATTTAATTCATTTAAAAAATCAAACTGTAAACAAATCTTTTATCTGTTTAATTGTTTCTTATTATCAATAAAGTAATGAAGTACGTGATGAAGGTTACATATAGTTTTCGATTTCGACAATGTTACTCTAAAAGAATCTCAATTTATCGTAACATAACTGTTATGATTAACATTATAACATGTGATTGAAAAGATTTAAACCAACTTTCTCCACCTAGAGGAAGTTCTATCGATGTGAAAAAGAAAAAAAACAATCAACTCAGTGGGTTGACGTATATCTTTATTGGTGATGAACAATCAATTTATGCTTCGGATTCAGATAACCATCGTGTAATGATATGGTTAAAAGAATCTGAAAGGGAAATTATTCTTGGTGAAAATGGAAAGGTTGACGGATCAAATCAATTTAATAATCCCAGTAGTTTATTACTTAATTCGGAAAGAGATCTTTATATTGTTGATAAAAGCAATTAAAGAGTACAAAATTGTTCATTAACTTCCATTTAAGCTACCCCTCCCTCCATATTCGAAGAGTTATGCGATCAAGAAGTGTCAAAAAGTAAGGGTCCGCGTGACGACGATGTCAGGTTCGTGTTAAAATGTAGTTGATTTTTTTGCGGGAACGTTTTCCGAAAATATTGAGAAAATCAAGGTGAATGTTTTCGTTTTGGAGAAAATGCGAAACAAGTGTTTTTGATAATTGTGTGTTTTTGTCTACAAGTAGATGAAGATTAAAGAATAGAATGTAATGCTCTAGAACTTATCAATGACAGAGAATCAAATGAACACATGTTGAGTCTTATGTGAGATACTTTTTACTACTGGTCAGCGCTACTCCCGTCAGGAAATACTCGTTGACAGAGAAATCTGTGACATGCAGATAAAAGAAAGTGAGTCTCTTGTCCTTCAGTTTTTTATTAGAACAATGCATTGGTTAGTAGAACCAGTTCATATGCTTTGTGACGACTCATATAGAACCTAGAAGGTGCTAGTGATATTCGTTATCGTGTTGAGCTCATGGTAAAGTTTGGCACCTACATTCAAGCATTGTGCTTTTGAAAAGTTCTTTGGAGGTGAGTGGGTCTAAAAAAAACCATTGTAAAACCTTCGAAAGTAGAAGTCAAGATATCTATATAACTACGCTAAAATCTGACAATCGATAATTTTACCGAAAATTTGCTTTTTCGATCCGGGGAGGGCCTTTAATAGATAAATGTTTTATTTAGAAGTAACCTAAATAATTTTGACACATAAAACAAATAAGGATCAGTTTTCATGTTCTCACTAAATCCGTTGGAAAATGTCTATTTTTAGAATAATTGAAAAAGCTTGTGAGCTTTCGTATACCATAGTCTTAAGAAAAATCCTCATGAGGAACATATGGACTTTGATTAAAGAAACATCTGCGACACCCACTTAGCAACAATTTGTATTTAAAGCGCCGTTGTCTTAACGTACGAATTCATTATTATTTCTTAACAATACTATGTCATAAGACGATCTATTTTCGTCTTTAGATGAACTCATCAATTTTGTTGTCATTCACAATTGGACTATTAGTACTGGTCATGGGTGGACAAGGTACGGTGTACAGACAGTGGGTGCCTATGGACACTACACTTGTGTTCAACAAACCAGGAACCTGCTATGGACCAGAAATTCATGTATCTGGAGATAATTGGCGCCTATGTTGTGATCATTTTGGCACCCGACAACTCCAAATGGAAACACGCAGTGTCATTGAGCCTCTCTTACCTACATCGGTTGAAGACCGTAGCTTAGCAAAAAATATACTCGATGGATGACTTCTACAACAACTTCTCGTATTGCATTGGCTGAAAATGCTTGTGAAGCATCATTACATTCGCAATTCATCGATGGAAGTTTGTGCGCAATGACTTGCGTGATAAATCTCGTGTAGTATTTAGGATAAATTGGTTGATAAAACGAAACAAAAATGATGGTTAGATAGCGTCGTTGATATTGTATCGCGGTGGGGATCGAACCCACGCATCCATAAGGATAAGAGTTTTCAAGACTATCGACTTAACCACTTGTCTACACGAAGGAATCAACATACAAAGCTAACCGTACGAGCATACTCAATAATATGATTATAAAAACGAATATTTCTTTGAAGTTATGCAATTACCGCAACAGAAAAGAAAANCGATTGTTGATGTCAATGGAGATCAAAATGGTGATCTCATCGTTGCAAATTATGGATCGAAAAGTGTGAGTGTTCTTTTGAACAAAGGAAATGGAACATTTGCCAGTCAAAAAAGCTTCTCCACGGGCTACAAATTATATTCGATAGCGGCAATTGATGTGAACGATGATCATCGACCTGATCTCGTTATTCCGAACTTTGATGGTGAAAGTGTGAGTATCTTTGTAAACACAAACAATGGTTTGTTTATGTTGCAATCAACATATTCATGTGGTCAACATCCGATGTCATTGATTGCAATAGATATCAATAGTGATGAGAAAGAAGATCTTATTGTGACAAATTATGCAGGAAGCACTGTGAGTATTCTGTTGAATAATGGAAAAGGAAGCTTTGGAAATGCAAAGAGTTATGAAACAGGATATTTGCCGAGATCATTAGCTGTGGCAGACGTTAACAATGATCAACGGCCGGATATTATTGTTGCGAATTACGGCGGACAAAATGTCAGTGTTCTTCTCGCTTATTGTTAAATGAATTGTATATTTTGTAAAAATAGAATCATTTTCAGAATGTGCATGATTATGTTTACTTTATTTTTGATAGAATGATACATTCATGAATAGACAAACGATAGTGAAAAGAACAGAAGTAAAAAAAGAAACTGATGAAGTTAAAATCTCACATTCTAATAATTTCAATCATTAATTCGATGTACAGTAATGTAACGATTAAAACGAATAGCCACCCATTCTTGGGACGCACAAATGTTCACTGGATAAAGATGAGGTTGATTCTCTTCATATTCTTCCACATACAAAATGAACGATCGTTTTCCCTTGCGTTCACCATGATTGTCATAAAATAATAAATTTCCGCTCATCACATGTAAAGCAACAAGAAGATCAACCTTATGAAGATGAAGAAGACGTGGCATATAATATTCGACATCTGTATAACCAAGATCGATTCGAGAAAGAAGAGCCCAATCGCGTGTTAGGTCGAACACATGAATACCAACTGGTCCTTTCTGTGATCCTATCGAACAATTGTATGAAACAGCAAGTTTTTTGTTCGATGGTGAACAGCAAATGTCAATCAAACGTAAAACATCACTGTTATAACGTTGAGAATCAGGAGGAAAGAGTTCCAATGCTGATTTTCGTACATGTGTCACTCTATAAGAATTCAAAAGAAGAACAAAACCTCTCGTATAATGATTGACAATTTCATAAACTGTTTCTTTTGTACAGCAAACACGTGAAAGCGTATCACCTGGCAGACAAGTTATCCAACGTTCAAACGCTTCCTCATCCTTATCAGGTGTTGGATTGAATAAATAATGCCAACTCGCACGTTGTTCTCCTGTTTGAACAACGGCTAAAACATATCGATTATGTGTTGGCCAATAATCCATATCGACAACACGAACTCGTTCGCCCACATATGGAAAGTTAAAGCTACGTTCAGCTTGAACTTCTCCCACACTCGAGTTAATGTTCGATACAACAAACATTTTCATTTCACGTACTTGTTCATAATTCCAAACAAAATCAATAAAAGCAAGTTGATCTTCACCAATTGCCATTACACCAGCTCGATCTTTATAACATTTGACCGTACAATGAGCGCGTTGTTTGATCACCAATGCTTGTCCAATAGTTGATGTTAAATCTGATGATTCAGATTGTTGTCGTGAATAATTTTTGTGTGACATAAATTCATCACTGAAATAAAAGTTTCGTTTGCCTGTGTCTTGATCACCAAAAATTGTTGAACTTCCATCTTCATCATTATAAAATTCATTCATCGCTTCTTGAAGTCGATCGTTGAGATCGTTTTCCGTGATATTTTCATCAAGATCATCGGTTGCTGAACGAACGATCGAATCGATCTCTTTCATCCATTGCTCTCGCCATTCATTGATCATTTTCGTCGTTTCATTTCGATTTGCATCTTCATTACTAGTGGCCATTCTTTTACACAGAACAAAATTAAAATGAAGAAAAAATAGTCAGTTTTTCCTTTTGTACACATATATATATATACGTCTTTCTTTCCCAGTGTTATGCACAATCGGTTGAAATTATACCACTGGGTTTTTTTCCAAGAGAATCTTTGCGTTTTACAGCAATACTTCGAGGAAGATTTTTTTCTTATCAAGCACCTCGGCTGGTTAAGGTAGATATCAGTTTATAGCTTTATTGCAGTTTCACTTGAGAAAAGAGATAAAAGAATGCAAAATATCGTGACGGAATTCTCGTTGAGATGATGAAATGAAGTTTGAAACTGGCAAAGTTCAGATTACTAATTGTTTAGTTTTTTCACAATTGAACCTCATTAGTGAGGACGTGTCACATCTCCAATTGTAACCAGATTTGAATAAATCTCTTTGCTGATTTCTGGTTAAAAATCAGAAACTTACTGATACACCTATCTAACAAACAAAAACAGAAATCTACTTCTGTTTATGAAAATTCTCAAATTTCTTCATTCATAATAGTATGTATTTGTACTATGCTCTGCATAGCCTGCCAGGTCAACAAAAATTTAGAAATCAGAAATTTACTTTTTCATCTGAAAATGTTTCACTCCTTTTTATCACATTAACCCTCGTACGCTGCTGGTAGGTCTACATGGACCCACGACGATGTTTTTGATTTTTATTATATGGACGCTGATACATTTTGAGGTGATGTTTTAGCTAATCGTTATAAAATGCCGTGAATACCTTCTTACAACAAAAAGGCTAAAGGTGCGCCCACATGGATTCCGCACCAGTTTTTGTGTTACACAAGTGGTTATTTATTACATAAATGCTGCCGTCTATCATCACAGATGTTCATTTACCAGAAAGATTATTCATATTTTTCTAGCATTCGTTTAACAGGCTTTGCGACTTTCTAAATGAAACGCTTCTGAATTAGTTTTCTACTACCATGGACACCCTTCGTATTCGTACTTATCTATTGAAGAAAAAAGCTTGATGTTGTGATTTTTCAGAGAACGATGTCTACCAAACTAAATCTGAAAAGAATTCGAGATGTTCGTGATTTCGAAATCACTGATGAAGTGGAAGAAATTGCTTCTGAAAATGAAGAATCAAATTCTAATCCAAATTTTTCTCTTTCTGAATCTGAATCCGATGACGCATCCACTGATGAACATATTTTTAAAAAATGACAGTTCGTCTGATTCTTTTACTGGTAATGATGATCTAAATCTGAATTTTCAACCAGATACAGTTGAAAAAAAACGACGTTTTATGGTCGAGAGAAAGCCCCAACACTGTTGGTCGTTTACATGCAACTAACACATTGACGATCAGACTTCGTCGGTTACTAAAATTCAAACAATTTTCGATGGGTCCCAGCTTTTCGTTACAAATGAAATGTTGGATAAAATTGTTGAACAAACAAATGATTAAAATCTGTATGGCAGACTTTTCCCGTAAAATGAATGTATTGAAACAACTTGGATTTTAGTTTATGCAAGATGTTTGCACTGAGACAAAAGCCGTGACATCCCTTTCCAATCATCGAAAACCTATAGCATATCAGTCACTTGTTTTGTTCCAATATCATGCGTGGCACCATCCATTGAGGTCAGCTTCTTAAATTGTGATGCCTCAACATAAGTCATATATGGATCAACATTTGCATCTTAGAGGACAAATGTGAGTGTTTTCTCCTTATCACTTATGCGGACTCTGGTGCACACTTTCTTAAGTGATCTCAACTATCTACTTGGAAAACGTGTTGCAATAGATCTAAGTTTCACAATAGAAAATGCATATGTAATTGTATTGTAGCAAGATTAAAATAGGAGTAAATAGAAACACAAAACTGACACTAATATCATGGCGAAAATATCAAAAGATCAAGACTGACATTGAGAGTAAGAGCGAAGATGTAGGTAGTAGCGACAATTTTACGCCTATATGTCAATATTGGAGACAAAATATAAGTAAATAAATGATAAAGATCTTAGTTTTTGTTAAAGCCAATTTTCTATATATTTTCCTAGCGCTTAACCGAAAGAACAAGCACACTTTTGGTCACACCTGTAATTCTTATGTACGATATTAGTCTTGATATTCTATCTATTTTTGTCATCATTTCCTGAATAGTTTTCGTATTTCTACTCATCTGTGTTCTGCTTCTAATAGTCTAAAGTCGATATTTCAATTTTTCTCAAGTAAATTCGATGTTTATGTATTAATAGGACCTCGTAATCATTTAGAAAAGGTTTAGAATGTCAAAAGTTTTATTTTAGTCAGGTTGATTCGATGATTGTTTCATAATTCTTCTTCTAAGATTATGTTGCACTTTATCCTATTGACAAGCTTTATTGCGACAACAGCTAGGTAACGCTGAATAGGTAGATGTTTGAGAAGTTGATGCTTGATTACCTGAATCAAGTATGTGCTAAAAAAAGACAAAAGAAACAGGTCTTTTCTTCTTACTGTGCCCCATACCTTTCCGTCGTCAACTGAAGAGAATTTGAAATTGTCAGCATATCGTGAAATAATCGTCATGTGGGCAAGTTCAGCACTTACACGTTCGGGTTTGCCATGAAGCTACATAAATATTGCGAATTATTCCAATGTATGCTCAATATTCTTTTAAATCTATTCCTCTATAAATGTGTCGTGTATAGGCGATTTGCTCATATTAGTGACAAAATTCAACATTGGCAATCACAGAAGGAAGACATGCCACTCGCAAGTTGCCGAAATTACTTAGAACCTCAAATTCCTTTAATACAAAATGATTAGTTCTCTTCTTACTGTCGCTACATCAATGTGACAAGATAAATGAGAAAAAAAAACAATATTTTAATTGTCGTGGATTCTTCATTCAAGAAATAACTTCAACTGATGTTAATCTAAGCACGATATATTTTTGATCGATGTCTATTTCCAAAGCAAATTTTGATTCGATGATAGTTTTCGATATTTCGTGAAAGCGGATGTATAAGATGGATTTCTGAAGCTCTCGCTACATACCCAAAGCATATCTCACTCACTAAAAAGATGCCTGGATTCCATTTAGGTATTTATTGTAGGAGATAAAAGTGAGGCACAGTCAAAATACATATTTTCATGAAGAATTATACGCGCTACCGAGTGCGTACCTCTTCTTATGGTCACATTTTTATTTCCAGGCAATATTATTATCTATTTATATGAGCATCGAAATGAATGTACCATTCGCTGGAACATTAAGCTTTGTGAATATGAGAAATATCGGGAAAATCTGTGCCGGAAAGTGAGAAAAAAGATTCCTTGAACTATCCACGAAAAGGATTAGATCTCAAACTGGATGTTGTCTTATATCGAAATTCGATGAAACGAATATCGTACGCCGTGCATTCAGCGTAAGTGGAACTATCCATTAGCAAAGACTGTCAAGGTACGTCAATCTACGAGTATTTACCTTAAATATCGTCGTCTGATCAAATTGAAATTCATCTTCATAGTGAGTCATTGACACTTCATATGCCACTAGAGCATCAGCAACACAAGATGACAATGTGGAACTACTACCACTTTTGGTGGAGCTATTTTTGAACATGCGATATGTGCATGATGCAAATTTGATATCTCCTGAACGTATATATATATATATGTATGTTCGCTTCTGGATACAGCTGATGAAAGAGAACGACAGATAAATAAACTAACCGAGTAGTTCTTTGTTCTCAACACCGATCGGTTGTTTTGTTATCAAGATAGGCCGTGTAAAACCGATGTCGAGTGCGCCCGTAATAAGGTCACTTTCGCATACAGCTCCGCTCAGACACTCACCTATGAATGAATAAATGTGTAAAAGTATAGTTGAATAACAACAAGAAGCTTTACCCCAAAGAATTTTATTTCGTCGCAGTTCCTCGGCGATTGGTCGATCGGCATAAACATCGCTAAAGTAGAATTCGCCTCCAGGCTGAAAAAAAACATAAATTTATTGGCAAGTGAATACACTTACTGAAAACAGTGTAGGTATCTACTAGATGGGGGAACGAAACAAAATAAAACTTCAAAATTTATTCTATATTTCATTAAATCGTTCGACTCGATCTGTAAGAGTATGTATATATTTCTCTTGTTAAAGCTTGATGTTTGATATTGAGATCGTTCTTGTGGATTATTGTTCCGATCGTTCACTCAAGCTCATAAGATTTGACACTGATTGTTACGAGTTTCACTAGTAATGTGCATTTGATTTTTGGAAGCGATACTAGGATTTTTACTGTACAAGACATAATTGACGGATCTTGTGGACGGTAATATTGAAATGAGAATGTAGAAAAATGTAAATATAGACCACTCTAAGATCCTGACAGAAAAAAACCATCGAACGATGTCTTGTGAGACCTACTTACTGGAAAGCACTTTTTCCTAAGCAACAATATATTCGAAAGTGTTGGTATTCTCAACAGAATGCCCAAAAGTCTATACGTGAAAAGATCGAGTCAATAATAACGTTAGACGCGACCTATATAATGAAATCTTGACAGAGTTATAAAATATATCGATGAGTTTTAACAGTTCTACTACGATTTTCTCTCTAAAAATGTTTTTTTAAAATTCTATCCGAAGTAGCACTGATGTTATCTACACCCACTTTCAGTATCTGGTATATTTGTTGCAAAACTTGCTTTTTGTCAGGACTTAAGTTGACGACACAATTCGAGCTGAAATTTTTGGAAGAAAGAAATACTAAAACGATCTTATGCATGAATGTGATTGATACGCACACAACAACATCGAACGAATCGACTTCCAATGCCACTTCGTCTATGAGATGTTCGATTCGACCCAGGCGAAAATCGACATTTGGCGAGTCAAAGCCGAATTGTTTTGTATGATAAATAATGTACTCTTGGGCAACATCAAGCTGAAAACATGATGAATAATGTTATAAAGTAATTTCATATATTATCTGCATTACCTGTTCTTTTGTCATGTCGACACCGACCACCGATCCTTGAGCCCCTACTAGGCTCGACAAAATGAAAACATCACGGCCTGATCCACAACCGAGATCCAACACTCGACATCCATTCAGTTTCGGCGGAAAGACAAGCCCACATCCATAATATCTGGGAAAATGAATCTAAATTATACAGGAACAAGGTCTATGTAGGCGTTAACTCACCGTGCTACAACATTCGGATGAATTTGGCTGATAATGTTTCGAATGAAAAGAGGTATTGATGCTTTAGAACAGCAAGCGTCGGTTTTCAAATCGTTACTATGCTGTAGCTGTTTTCCATAATAGTCCTGGACATCAGCATGCACATCCATCGTTGCCATATAATACGTCGTATACGAATCCACAAATATGTGAGCTGTGAAGCAGCCCACACTTAATATTTATCCTCTCTCAACATTACGATGCATTAGAAGAAAGAATAGACATATTTGCACATGCACAATAGAGAGCAAGTGACTCACGAATTTACTCTCTCTCAGAATGACGATGCATTAGAAGAAAAAATAGGAATATTTGCACATCTGCAGTACAGAACGAAAAAAAACACGAAAAGAGAAAAATGAAGAAGAGCTGACCATATTCCGTACACCGAAGGGAAAACTTCATTACAGAAACGACAGACTAGTATGTAAGTGACGAGAATTTACTGTTGGCTCTAGGATCATTATTTCGTAACATTATTCATAAACAGATCTTTTGACGCGAACTAATAGTATTTAAGTAATAGTGATCTGAATCTTTTCTGACAGTATCAAGTGTAGTGTTGAACTGATTCTTACCCTCTTAAAATTCTTTACTTAACACAACGAGCATTGTCATAGAATTAGAATTAGATCTAAAACACGTGATTGTAGCAGAATTTGAGACATTTTCAGTTTACATCCTAGTTTTTATTGGCAGTCATTGTATTGAAAATCAAGGTTTAATGTTAATTTCGCGTACGGACTGCAATTCTGCTTGAGATAGACTATTTTAGACGGATTCGGTCAGGACTTAGACCACTGTTGCACGACTTTGACATATAACACTTTAAATGGAGAGAAGCATATTTCTGTAATTGGATGCATCGACACATGCACTCTGTTTTGTGAAAGGTCACGATATTTATAATCTCTCTTCTATTGTCCGTCTGCTCTCTTTCTCTCCGCTTATAAACTGTGGGTCATGCATTGTTCACCATCAAATATATTCACTCTTTCTTCTTTCTCTTCTCCACTGTTATCTGCTTTCTTTACTTGCGACGAAATAAAGCTAATTGAACCTCTTTTTCATTGCAATTCCCTTTTGAAAACGTGGATAAGGCTGACAGTATAGACACCATGAATATTCATACTCGCAATGCATGATAGGAATAGAATATGTCATATGAAGAGAGCACAAAGGTGAGTCACAAGAATTACTTCTAACAACCTTCTGATGTTTTATCGATTATTAAAGAGCTGCGGTTGTCAAAAAATGTCTGTAAGCATATACGTGCACCTTAAGCTGAGAAAATATTGTAATTATAATTTTTGTAATAGACATGTCTCAGCTGATAATTGTTTCATAGTTGACATCAGGACACTTACTGTCGCACATCCACGTAATATCGGCCTTTAATTCGAGTGAGCACTTCGGAATGTTCCTTCGTTAGTGTGATTTGCTATCATTTGAGTTACTTCACTCTGGAAAAACCATGCTCTACGAAACTCCCCAAAACGTTCTGTCTTTGCAAAAAAGGTTTTGTAGGACAAAAGGGTCGCCCCCTCGATACAAGAGCCGATCTCTTAATGATTTCATAGAACTTTTTATTGTGCTTTGAGAACTGTGAATATGTTTCGAATCTTTTCTGTAAAGACGGAACCTTTTCGAGAGTATCATACGTCAAAAATTTTTGAAAAGTGTCGTTTTATTGCATGCTTCTTACATGAATACCTATCTAAATAATCTGATGAACGATTCAACTCTGTGAGAATATAAATTGTATATGTGTTCCATTCAAAAGATATTTTTCTGATCATGTTAAGAATATCCATCAGACCGTATTTTAGAGTTCGTTTCGCAAGCTACATAGATAAACATGGGAAAAATTAGATAAAAACAAAATAGTTTTGCCATTCTATATTCTTTATTATTGTAGATAACACTCAAAGGTATCACTGATCGACATTCTAGAAACAAAGCATGGCTTCTAACGATACGTTTCTCATCGGCATTATCGGTAGTGGTCCTATCGGTCTTGAATGTGGTTTGCGTGCGCTCCAATACGGCTATCGGTTTGTTATCTTTGAAGCTGGCGACGATATCGCAAACAACGTACGTTCCTGGTCCCATGTCCGATTATTTACACCGTTGAACATGAATATGTCATCACTGGGTCGGACTCATGTGGAGCCGAACGATGATGATAGTACATACCTGACCGGCGACGAGTACATCGAGCGCTATCTACGTCCCATCAGTCGCCACCTGCAACCAAATATACGACTACGTCATAGAGTCATTTCTGTCGGTCGCCATGACATCAACAGATTCGTTATTCTTGTAGAAAATGGACAGATCAATCGTGAAGAATACATGTTGTTGGACTGCGTCATCGATGCGAGTGGTACGTACGGCTGCCCAAATTTTGCCGGCCCTGGCAGGTTACCGGCCATTAACGAACGAGCCTTGCGTATGGCGGCGTCACCACTCATCAGCTATCGAGTGCCCAGTGAGCGCGATGAACATCTTGCAGGCAAACGAATTCTTCTCATAGGCAAAGGTTATAGTGCGGCCACGTCTGCCGTTTTTCTAGGTAAGCGCACATCTTATCATTTTGTAGATCTGTTGTTTACGCTTTCTTTCATTTTTTAAATCTTCCAATAACAGTTTCTAATGAAGAAGTACAGAGGTGGTTTTTTGTTATGAAACTACAATGAGTTTTGTACTTGTTACGAAGAATTAGTACGACTTTCATTCGATTGACCTATATTGTTTAACCATAAACAGTGAAATTCTTTCTCTTTTCTCAATGCACCCAGTTACGACCATTTTCAGATATATAGGATGAAACCTTTGTGTTTTTTCAAGTGGTAATTGCCGTTTGGCTCGACGTTTTGCTCATGAGTACATTTTAATGAATTATGAAAAAGCCTAAATGTGCTCGTCCACATGACTCTTTCTTTTATTTTTGAACAATTCACGCTCCGATATTCTGATGACTCAAGAGGGAAATTTCCTTCCTAGATTTACCTATTACTTATTTGCATAGTTCAAAAGTTTCACCATTACAACTCCTACTTGATGAAGAGTTATTGATTTTTCATTTGTGAAACAGTCATGAAAGCACTTTTGTGTGCATATTGAGAGAAGGAGAAGCGCGTATTCAAAAAGATATTATTTTTTAAATATTTTACTCAAGTATCAATCCCTTTCAAAAAAAATAGCGTATGTGATAGAGTATCATCTTCGATATCCAATGCACTATAGTTTACTTTATGGACCATGTCTTTTAACGATTTTACAGACGCTTTTTAGAGAACATCTCTAAAAAAAACAATTATCTTCAACAATTTTATGTTTTCTCTATCTCAAATCGTGATAGTAAATCATGTTTTGTTTCATTTTGCAGAATCTATACTTCTACGAACTGTTTTGTGGTTTATTCAAATGAGACTTCGCTTTTAGGTTTTCCTACATCTCAGATGTTTTCGCTATCTTGAAAACCAGGAAGCTTGGCTTTGTTTTAAACCTTATGAAAATTCCGACATTACAAATTAAGAAAACCCGATTTTTTAATTTCATGATTGATGTCATGTGGAGAGAAGATCTTTGAGAACTTTCATCCTAAGCATTTCAATTTGTGACCTCGAATTTATTTCAAAATTAAATTACAGACAAATTAAAAATTGGACTTTATTATCTGGGATGGACGAAAATCAGGTTTCTGAGGATTAAGCTAAAATTTTCATTACAAAGTATCGAGCCCTAGATATATATGTCTACTTTGAAAGTTCCGTTGAGATCATATGCTCTAAGACAAAAAGAAGATTTTTGCTGGGAGCTGCGCCTAAAAAAAAGATATACGATCTGATTAGAAAGCTTTTCCTTCCGTGATAACCGAGAAAATTATTTTTCAGACAAAGAAAGCCCTTCGATAGTGGAATAGTCTCTCTACATAGTCTACCATGAAAACAAGCTTTAATGATAATACGAAATATTTATTCAGTATTAATTTAGACTCGAATAGAGTGAGGGAACGAAATGAAGTAACGACTTGTAATCCCATACAGGTCATAACACATACGATATTTTTCTGCCAGAGAAGAAATACTTATACCCTCCTTACACACTTTTTTTACTGCCAATGCACATTAGAATACTTTCGGGATCGTCTTTCTACTAAAAATTTTCATCTCACAATCAATCAGAGCTGTGCTAGTCAAAGCTTTTGAACTATACGGATAAGTAATAGATCTGTCTAAGAAAAAAATCATTTGAAATGATTACAATAAATGATATAAAAAGATGTGACGGATGTCCGCACTACTACAGTAACATCCAGCTCTACCATACACACATGTAGCGCGAGAAAAATGTATAATCTTTTTCTCTAATTCTGTAAACTCACATAAGTGAGCACTGATTTGGTTTTAACAGTATTCTACTAAAAGTGCAGATGTTTCCAAAATCGAGGCTGCGTAAACATAGATGTGGAATAAAAATTATTTTAACTTGAAGTTTTTGTCAATACTATTTTATAGATACGTATTCAAGATGAAAGACTCTGAGAAGTTAAAAGCAGCGCTAGAGTCTTTTTCTTATGGCGAAATTATCGAAACCGGACTCGCTTCTATCTGATGAACGAATGCGAAAACTTCGGAATTTATCCGAAAGTTATGTATACTGCAAAAAGTGGATGAAATAGATAAGCAATTCTCCTATGCACGAGTACCAAAACTATGATAAGGAATTTCTTCAATCCACATGACTTGTCTTGACTGTAGCTTATCCTAAAAGATTTTCGGTTCGGATACAGATCATATTTGAACTCATCACTTTAATTTTTCATAGGACAACCAGTTTCATTCATAACTTGATTCTTACTAGTTATTGCTAAATCCATAGATTTTCCAACATGGCATTGGGTCAAGTTCTTTGATACAGAAAAACTCGAAGTAATATGTTTATAGCCGTAAGATGAAGTTCTCATTGTGGACGAACAGGATTCTTGTCCATGTTGAAGGAACTTCCTGCACAGTTATGTTTCCCCACATAGATAACTAGCCTACTTTTGTTCCTTTATCTATTAAATATGACTTCGCTGCTCTTAAAATCTCTTATCAAATAGTGTTTAATGCACGTGGTTTTATTCGACTGTCGTGTAAAATTTTTTTAGCAGAAAGCGACTATATCGCTCTCACGAAAAGGACATCGTGTTCACACAAACTGAGGAGAGAATTATCTTCGAACCAGACCGAGAATCTAGGTCTCTTCGAAAGTTATAGTGTAAAACAGGAACGAACCGATACACTACGAAATTTTAGGAATGTTCCTACGTTTCGAGTACAACAAAAAGTATGAGGTTTCAAATCTGTTGTTACTAGTACATTGTTGATACTTTGATTGTGTTCAACCAAAGGTTATAGTCTAACAGAAATTGTACTTCTGAATAAATGTTTCTACACTTTTCATCAATTGCCATATTCAGAATATCTTTATTAACGTTCACCAATGCAAAGAAGAATTGGGTGAAAGTCACCCAAGCGTTCCCTTCTAGCGTCCTCTTGGGTGATTCCAAACTGATGGTGACTTTTGTCAAGAGCTTAACAATTGCTTCGTAAGGCATGGTGAGAAGATACATATTGCAGATACCCATACTTAATTTAATAACCATCTAGGCCACGTTCATCGAGATCACCATTATGACCCTTTCTATTTCTTTGAAATCTATGTTAACCTTGCCATTTCGTTAAACGGAAACAATCCTTTAGAATTATTTGGTTTCGATATACATACCACAGGAATTAATAGTTAATATAAGAGTCATGTGGGTGAATCTCACCCTCACCCACCCTCAAGATCGAAAAGCATGGATGCTCCGAAAGAATATTGTATATGATTGTGATTTCCGCTTATAAGAAAGCTGAGAATGACTCCCTAACTATTTTTCATCGAGGATTAGCCTGAGGGGCTAAAAAATCGTGAAACAATATCTGTTCAATGATTTTATTCGAAAATAAAATTTACCAAAAAGTGGATGGCTGCTCCTGGATTCATCTTTATATTTTCAAACTATAATGTTCTCAGCATGACTAGGTTTGGAAGTTAGTACAATTCGTGCTTTCAATGTTTTGAATTTTCAATATCTATGCCCTTCGACATTTTTTCTTTCGAACTTAGTTGGGAGAATCTGAAATATTGATTGAATGTACCATTACGCACCAACGTATAACTATTTGAATTCTATTTTCGTAGCTCAACTCAAAAAGCATTATCCAGACACACAGCTATTCTGGGTTATTAAACAATCAATCGATTATTTGCCTTATTGCAGCAATATCAACGATCCGCTTGAACAACGGCGTCACCTTGACGATACGGTTAATCAAATGTATACCGATGGTGTCACCTTTAACGAGATTTACACGAATACGGTTGTAACGNATAAATAATGCCAACTCGCACGTTGTTCTCCTGTTTGAACAACGGCTAAAACATATCGATTGTGTGTTGGCCAATAATCCATATCGACAACACGAACTCGTTCACCCACATATGGAAAGTTAAAGCTACGTTCAGCTGGAACTTCTCCCACACTCGAGTTAATGTTCGATACAACAAACATTTTCATTTCACGTACTTGTTCATAATTCCAAACAAAATCAATAAAAGCAAGTTGATCTTCGCCAATTGCCATTACACCAGCTGGATCTTTATAACATTTGACCGTACAATGAGCGCGTTGTTTGATCACTAATGCTTGTCCAATAGTTGATGTTAAATCTGATAATTCAGATTGTTGTCGTGAATAATTTGTGTGTGACATAAATTCATCACTGAAATAAAAGTTTCTTTTGCTTGTGTCTTGATCACCAAAGATTGTTGAACTACCATCTTCATCATTATAAAATTCATTCATCGCTTCTTGAAGTCGATCATTGAGATCGTTTTCCGTGATATTTTCATCAAGATCATCGGTTGCTGAACGAACGATCGAATCGATTTCTTTCATCCATTTCTCTCGCCATTCATTGATCATTTTCGAGGTTTCATTTCGATTTGCATCTTCACTACCAGTAGCCATTCTTTTACACAGAACAAAATTAGAATGAAGAAAAAATAGTCAGTTTTTCCTTTTGTACACACATATATATACGTCTTTCTTTCCCAGTGTTATGCGCAATCGGTTGAAATTATACCACTGGGTTTTTTTTCAAGAAAATCTTTGCGTTTTACAGCAATACTCTGAGGAAGAGTTTTTTCTTATCAAGCACATCGGCTGGTTAAGATAGAAATCAACTTACAGCTTGGGTGCAGTTTCACTTGAGAAAAGAGATAAAAGAATGAAAAATCTCGTGACGAAATTCTCGTTGAGATGATGAAATGAAGTTTGGGACGATAAAATAATTATCCTAGACAAAATTGAATTTCAATAGAATTATTTTGGAAAGAAGAGCGTCATCTAGTCATCATTTTTTCAATTTGTGTCAAATGATCAAGTTCAGATTACTAATTGTTTAGTTTTTTCACAATTGAACCTCATTAGTGCGATATTCATAAAGAGGCGACAGACTATCGATTATCTTCTCGAATAGAAATCTGAGTGACATCAATGGCACATATAAAGTGGACGTGTCAAATCTCAAATTGTGATCAGTTTTGAATAAATCTCTTTGCTGATTTCTGGTTAAAAATCAGAAATTTACTGACACATCTATCTGACAAACAAAAACAGAAATCTACTTCTGTTTATGAAAATTCTCAAATTTCTCCATTCATATTAGTATGTATTTGTACTATATGCTCTGCATAGCCTGCCAGATCAACAAAAATCTAAAAATCAGAAATTTACTTTTCCATCTGAAAATTTTCCACTCCTTTTTATCATATTAACCCTCGTACGCTGCTGGTAGATTCACAAGGACCCACGACGATGTTTTTTGATTTTTATTATATGGGTGCTGATATACATTTAGAGTTGATACTGTAGCTAATCGTTATAAAGTGTCATGAATACCTTCTTATAGCAAAAATATTAAAGGTGGTTCCACATGGATTCTGTACCAGTTTTTGTGCTACACAAGTGGTTATTTATTATATAAATGCTGCCATCTATCGTAACAGGTGTTCATTTACTAGAAAGATTATTCATATTTTTCTAGCCTTCGTTTGACAGGCTTTACTACTCTCTAAATGAAATGCTTCTGAATTAGCTTTCTACTACGATTGACACTCTTCGTATTCGTACTTATTTATTGAAGAAAAAGGCTTGAATTAAAGCGATAATTCTTGTTGTGATTTTTCAGAGAACGATGTCTACCAAACCAAATCTGAAAAGAATTCGAGATGTTCTTAATTTCGAAACCACTGATGAAGTGGAGGAAATTGCTTCTGAGGATGAAGAATCAAATTCTGATCCAGATTTTTCTCTTTCTGAATCTAAATCCGATGACACATCCACTGATGAACGTATTTCAGAAAATGACAGTTCGTCTGATTCTTTTACTAGTAATAATGATCTAAATCTGAATTTTCAACCAGATACAGTTGAAAAACAAATGGCGTTTTATGGTCGAGAGAAAGCTCCAACACTGCTGGTCGTTTACATGCTACTAACATATTGACGATCAAATCTGGTCCGGTTACTAAAATCCGAACTATTTTCGATGGATTCCAGTTTTCCTTTACAAATGAAATGTTGGATAAAATTGTTGAACAAACAAATAATTCCAATCTGTATGGCAGACTTTTCCCACAGAATGAACGTATTGAAACGACTTGGATTTTGGTTTATGCAAGATGTTTGCACTGAGACAAGCCATGACATCTCTTTCCAATCATCGAAAATCTATAGCATATCAATCAGTTGTTTTGTTCCAATATCATGCGTGGCACCATCCGTTGAGGACAGCTTCTTAAATTGTGATGCCTCGATATAAGTCATATATAGATCAACATTTGCATCTTAGAGGACAAATGTGAGTGTTTTCTCTTTATCATTTATACGTACTCTGACGTACACTTCCTTAAGTGATCTCAATCATCTACTTGGAAAACGTGTTGCAACAGATCTAAGTTTCACAACAGAAAATGCATATGTATATTGTAAGCAAGATTAAAATAGAAGTAAATAGGAACACAAAACTGGTACTAATATGATGACGAAAATATACAAAAGATCGAGGCTGACATTGAGAGTAAGAACGAAGATATAGGTAGTAGCGATAATTTTACACCTATATGTCAATATTGGAGACGCAATATAAGCAAATAAATGATAAAGATCTTAGTTTTTGTTAACCCTTTCGAGACCGCGCTGACACTTCAAAGTGTCATTGAGATTTTATGTAGTCTTATGCATAAGAATTCGAATTTTTTTCGCGTCTTTTTGAAGTAAATGTTGTGTATCCTGTCTTAGACGTTCGTGTTACGATCGGTATCTTCTTTTTTCTTTCTCTTCTTGTCGAATGACAAAAATTGGAATTCTTACACATGAGACTTTAAAGTGCCAGCGGTCTCGAAAGAGTTAAAACCAATTTTCTATATATTTTCCTAGCGCTTAACCGAACGAACAAGCACACTTTTGGTCACACCTGTAATTCTTATGTACGATATTAGTCTTGATATTCTATCTATTTTTGTCATCATTTCCTGAATATTTTTTTGTATTTCTACGCATCTGTGTTCTGCTTCTAATAGTCTAAAGTCGATATTTCAATTTTTCTCAAGCAAATCCGATGTTTATGTATTAATAGGGCCTCGTAATCAATTAGAAAAAGTTTAGAAGATCAAAAATTTTTCTTTTAGTCAGGTTGATTCGATGATTGTTTCATAATTCTTCTTCTAAGATTATGTTGCACTTTATTCTATTGACAAGCTTTATTGCGACAACAGCTAGGTGACGCTGAATAGGTAGATGTTTGAGACGTTAGTGCTTGATCACCTGAATCAAGTATGTGCTAAAAAAGACAAAAGGAACAGGTTTTTTCCTCTTGCTCTGCCCCATACCTTTCCGTCGTCAACTGAAGAGAATTTGAAATTGTCAGCATATCGTGAAATAATCATCATGTGGGCAAGTTCAGCACTTAGACGTTCGGGTTTGCCATGAAGCTACAAGAATATTGCGAATTATTCCAATGTATGCTCAATACTCTTTTAAATCTATTCCTCTATAAATGTGTCGTGTATAGGCGATTTGCTTATATTAGTCACAAAATTCAACATTGGCAATCACAGAAGGAAGACATGCCACTCACAAGTTCGCGAAATTACTTAGAACCTCAAATTCTTTTAATGCAAAATGATTAGTTCTCTTGTTACTCTCGCTACATAAATGTGACAAGATAAATGAGGAAAAAAAAACAATATTTTAATTGTCGTGAATTCTTCATTCAAGAAATAACTTCAGCTGATGTTAATCTAAGCACGGTATATTTTTGATCGCTGTCTATTTCTAAAGCAAATTTTTATTCGATGTTAGTTTTCGATATTTCGTGAAAGTGGATGTATAAGAGTGAATATGTCACTCCTGAAGCTATCGTCACATACCCAAAGCATATCTCACTCACAACAAAGACGCCTGAATTTCATTTAAATGTTTGCTTTAGAAGATAAAAGTGAGGCACAGTTAAAACACATATTTTCATAGAGAATTATACGCGCTATCGCGTGCTCTACTTACTTTTTCGAAAACCTTCTTACAGAGTTCTATCACGGCACAAATATTGATGCCAACTTTTGCTTTTGAAGAGTATATCTCTCGTGATGCTGTCAGTTCATGAAGGTTTACCTCTTCTTATGGTCGCATGTTTATTTTCAGGCAATATTATTATCTATTTATATGAGCATCGAAATGAATGCACCATTCGCTCGAAAATTAAGCTTTGTGAATATGAGAAATATCAGAAAAATCTTTGCTGGAAAGTGAGAAAAAAGATTCCGTGAACTATCCACGAATAGGATTAGATCTCAAATTGGCTGATGTCTTATATAGGAATTCGATGAAACGAATATCTTACGTCTTGCACTCAGCATAAATGGAACTATCCATTAGCAAAGACTGTCAAGGTACGTCAATCTGCGAGTATTTACCTTAAATATCGTCGTCTGATCAAATTGAAATTCATCTTCATAGTGAGTCATTGGCACTTCATATGTCACTAGAGCATCACCAACACTAGATGGCAATGTGGAACTACTACCACTGTTGGTGGAGCTATTTTTGAACATGCGATATGTGCATGATGCAAATTGAATATCTCCTAAACGTATATATGTATGTTTACTTATGGATAGAGATCATGAAAAAGAACGAGAGATAAATAAACTAACCGAGTAGCTCTTGTAGTTCTTTGTTCTCAACACCGATCGGTTGTTTTGTTATCAGGATAGGCCGTGTAAAACCGATGTCGAGTGCACCCGTAATAAGGTCATTTTCGCAAAGAGCTCCGCTCAGACACTCACCTACGAATGAATAAATGTGGAAAAGTATAGTTGGATAACAACAAGAAACTTTACCCCAAAGAATTTTATTTCGTCGCAGTTCCTCGGCGATTGGTCGATCGGCATAAACATCGCTGAAGTAGAATTCGCCTCCAGGCTGAAAGAAAAATATGAATTTATCGACAAGTGAATACCCTTACTGGAGACAGTGTAGGTATCTACTAGATGGAGGAACGAAACAAAATAAAACTTCAAAATTTATTCTATATTTCATTAAATTGTTCGACTCGATCTGTAAGAATATATATTTCTCTTGTTAAAGCTTGATGCTTGATATTGAGATAGTGCTTCTGGATTATTGTTCCGGTCGTTCACTCAAGCTTAAAAGATTTGACACTGATTGTTACGAGTTTCACTAGTAATGTACATTTGATTTTTGGAGGCGATACTAGGATTTTTATTGTACAAGACATAATTGACGGATCTTGTGGACGGTAATATTAAAATGAGACTGTAGAAAAATGTAAATATAGACCACTCTAAGATCATGACAGAAAAAACCATCGAACGATGTCTTGTGAGACCTACTTACTGGAAAGCACTTTTTCCTAAGCAACAATATATTTGAAAGTGTTGGTATTCTCAACAGAATGCCCAAAAGTCTAGACGTGAATAGATCGAGTCAATAATAACGTTAGACGCGACCTATAGACTGAAATCTTGACAGAGTTATAAAATATATCGATGAGTTTTAACAGTTCTACTACGATTTTCTCTCTAAAAATATGTTTTTTTAAATTCTCTCCGAAGTAACACTGATGTTATCTATACCTACTTTCAATATCTGGTATATTTGTTGCAACACTTGCTTTTTGTCAGGACTTAAGTTGACGACACAATTCGAGCTGAAATTTTTGGAAAAAAGAAACTAAAACGATTTTATGCATGAATGTAATTGATACGCACACAACAACATCGAACGAATTGATTTCCAATGCCACTTCGTCTATGAGATGCTCGATTCGACCCAGGCGAAAATCGACATTTGGCGAGTCAAAGCCGAATTGTTTTGTATGATAAATGATGTACTCTTCGGCAACATCAAGCTGAAAACATGATGAATAATGTTATAAATTAGTTTCATATATTATCTGCATTACCTGTTCTTTCGTCATGTCGACACCAACCACCGATCCTTGAGCCCCTACTAGGCTCGACAAAATGAAAACATCACGACCTGATCCACAACCGAGATCCAACACTCGACATCCGTTCAGTTTCGGTGGAAAGACAAGCCCACATCCATAATATCTAGGAAAATGAACCCAAATTATACAATAACAAGATCTATATAGACGTTAACTCACCGTGCTACAACATTCGGATGAATTTGACTGAGAATGTTTCGAATGAAAAGGGGTACTGATGCTTTAGAACAGCAAGCGTCGGTTTTCAAATCGTTACTATGCTGTAGCTGTTTTCCATAATAGTCCTGGACATCAGCATGTACATCCGTCGTTGCCATATAATACGTCGTATGCGAATTCACAAATGTGTGAGTTGTGAGGCAGTTCACACTCAAAATTTATTCTCTCTCAACACGACGATGCATTAGAAGAAAGAATAGAAATATTTGCACATGCATATTGAGAGAGCAAATGACTCACGAATTTATTCTCTCTCAACATGACGATGCATTAGAAGAAAGAATAGAAATATTTGCATTTGCACATCTGCATTACAGAATGAAAAAGAACATATAAAGAGAAAAATGAAGAAGAGTTGGCCATATTCCGCACACCGAAGAGAACACTCCTTTATAGAAACGACAGACTAGTATGTAAGTGACGAGAATTTACTGCTGGCTCCTAGGATCATTATTTCGTAATATTATTCATAAACAGATCTTTTGACGCGAACTAATAGTGTTTAAGTAATAATGATCTGAATCTTTTCTGACAGTATCAAGTGTAGTATTGAACTGATTCTTATCCTCTTAAAATTGTTTATTTAACACAATGGACATTGCCATAGAATTAGGATTAGATCTAAAGCACGTGATTGTAGCAGAATTTGAGGCATTTTCAGTTTATATCCTAATTTTTATTGGCAGCCATTGTATTGAAAATCAATGTTTAATGCTAATTTCACGTACGGACTGCAATTCTGCTTTAGATAGACTAATTTATACGGATTCTGCTAGGACTTTGCTCACTGTTGCTCGACTTTTACGTCTAACATTTTAAATGGAAAGAAGCATATTTCTATGATTGGTGCATCAACACATGCACCCTGTCTTGTGAAAGGTCATTATATTTATAATCTCTCTTTCATTCTCTGTCTGCTCTCTTTACTTGGGATGAAGTAAAGCTGATTGAACCTCTTTTTCATTGCAGTTTCCTTTTGAAAACATGGATAAGGCTGACGGTAGATACCATGAATATTCATACTGTAGCGGTTTATTACGCTATTTGTGCTTCCTATTTCAACTTTATTTCCAAATCAACTGACCTTCTCCTTGTGGAGAAGGCATATATTCATAACACAAGAAGAAAGATACACTGTATCTAATTGGTGACCTGTCTAGAGAGAGAGATGTGTTATGATTGGTTACACATACTCGCACTGCATGATAGGAATAAAATATTCTCTCTACTGAAAGGAGGGTATACACAGAATTTGAGTTAAAATTCGTTCGTTTGTCCGTGCGTTCGTTCACGTACTTTACACTATAATAGAATAACAATCTATACTGTTTACGAAGAAAGTTTGACCGAAGGGTAGTTGGGGTCGAGGAACTCGAATCTAAGGTCAGTTTTTTTTCCATCCATCGAGCGTCTCTCTTCTTTTTTCTTTTTACAGCAGATATTTTTCTGTGTCTTTTTTAAAAATCTTTTGTGGAAGGTAATGAGCTGAACGCTATTTACGATATGTGATGGGAGAGAAAATAAGAGTTTAGAAGTTTATACAAAAAGAATTAGTGTGTGTCGTATTATGATATTTATAACTCAAGAAAACCGGAGAAAGTGGTATGTGCGTAGTATCACTTCCGTGTCGGTAGCAACGACTGCGGCACGTCAGGTGTTTCGGTAAGATCTTAGAGGAAGTACGTCACCAAAAGATATACCCGTCAGTTGAGTTCCATCTTAATAAGTATATAAGGAAATCGACTGTGCAAAAAGAAGTCTAAACATATGAAGCACTATGATGGGTGCTTGTTTCACGGCAAATCATAAAATAAAACTTTTTATCTATTTTGTTTGGGGAGTCAAATGAATAGAAGATCACCAACTCGGAAGCGCCAACAAAATGTAGCTATTCACTTTGAAAGTCAACCAAAAGTGAGTGATACAGCGGAGGTAGACATAGGAACGGCTAGCCGTTCCTCTTGAGAGATATTTGAAAGTTGAGTTTTATACGAGTCTAAGCGTTGGTCTGAGAAACTTTTGAGGTACCAAATGAACATGAGTGAAAGTCTGAAGCAAATCATCGAATAAATGTACCATCAAAATAAAACAGATTTTATTTATTCGGTTGGACAAAAAGTTCTGCAACAATTTCACCCTCGTCCTCATATTAAAGTGTTGCAAAACTTTTAGCCCAATTTAGCATTTATTCTAAAAGATAGATGTTATTCGATAATATCCTTTCAGTAGAGGGTCAGCAGCCACTAAGCCGCGTTACTTGTAGTTTTTGTAGTAGGCAGGTCTCAGCTGACATTTTTTTATAGTTGACATCAGGATACTTACTGTCGCACACCCGCGTAGCATCGGTCTTTAATTCAAGTGAGTACTTTGGAATGTTCCTTCATTAATGTGATTTGCTATCATTTGAGTTACTTCACTCAGGAAAAAAACATAATCTACGAAACTCCCAAAAAGGTTCTGTCTTTGCATAAAAGACTCGAAACACATTCACAGTTCTAAAAGTACAATAAAAAGTTCTATGAAATCATTAAGAGATCGGCTCTTGTATCGAAGGGGCTACCCTTCTCTCTTACAAAACCCTTTTTCAAGTCCAGTACATCAAAAAACGAGTTTCATAGCAAAATGCAAAATCTTCAGAGTATTCTTACTTTACGGCGAACTCTATTTCTGATGTGCTGGAGTTGAAAAAAGGTTTTGTAGGAGAGAAGGGTAGTCCCCTCGATACAAGAGCCGATCTCTTAATGATTTCATAGAACTTTTTTATTGTGCTTTTAGAACTGTGAATATGTTTCGAGTCTTTTTTGCAAAGACAGAACCTTTTTGGGAGTTTCATACAGCACAAATCTTTTAAAAGTGTTGTTTTACTGCATGCTTCTTACATGGACACCTATCTAAATATATCTGATGAACGATTCAACTCTTTGTGAGAATATAAATTATATATATGTTCCACTCAAAAGATATTTTTCTGATCAGATTGAGAATATCCATCAGATCGTATTTTGGAGTTCGTTTCACAAGCTACATAGATAAACATTGGAAAAGTTAGATAAAAACAAATAGTTTTGCTATTTTATATCCTTTATTATTGTAGATAACGCTCAAAGGTATCACTGATCAACATTCTAGAAACAAAGCATGGCTTCTGACGATACGTTTCTCATCGGCATCATCGGTAGTGGTCCTATCGGTCTGGAATGTGGTTTGCGTGCGCTCCAATACGGCTATCGATTTGTTATCTTTGAATCTGGTGACGATATCGCAAACAACGTACGTTCCTGGTCCCATGTCCGATTATTTACACCATTGAACATGAATATGTCATCACTGGGTCGGACTTATGTGGAGCCGGACAATGATGATAGTACATACTTGACCGGCGACGAGTACATCGAGCGCTATCTGCGTCCCATTAGTCGTCATCTGCAGCCAAATATACGACTACGTCATCGAGTCATTTCTGTCGGTCGCCATCACATTAACGGATTCGTTATTCTTGTTGAAAATGGACAGATCAATCGTGAAGAATACATGTTGCTGGACTGCGTCATCGATGCGAGTGGTACATACGGCTGCCCAAATTTTGCCGGTCCTGGCAGGTTACCGGCTATTAACGAACGAGCCTTGCGTATGGCGGCGTCACCACTCATCAGCTATCGAGTACCCAGTGAGCGCGATGGACATCTTGCAGGCAAACGAATTCTTCTCATAGGCAAAGGTTATAGTGCGGCCACGTCAGCCGTCTTTCTGGGTAAGCATACATCTTATCATTTTGTAGATCTGGTGTTTATGCTTTCGTTCATTGTTTAAATATTCCAATAACAGTTTCTAGTGAAGAAGCACAGAGGTGGTTTTCTGTTATCAAACTTCAATGAGTTTTGTACTTGTTACGAAGAATCAGTGCGACTTTCATTCAGTTGACCTATATTTTTTAACCATAAACAGTGAAAGTCTTCCTTTTGTCTCAATACACTCAGTTACGACCATTTTTTCAGATATATTGGATGAAACCTTTGTGTAGCTGTCATAAATACTCAGACACTTTTATGAGAAGACTTTTTCAAGTGGTAATTGCCGTTTGGTTCCACGTTTTAGTCTTAAGTAGCTTAGATTTTAGTGAATTATGAAAAAGCCTAAATGTGCTCGTCCACATGACTCCTTCTTGTCAAATAAACTTTTTATTTTATTTTTAAACAATTCACTCTCCGATATTCTGATGGCTCGAGGGGGAAATTCCCTTCCCAGATCTACCTATTACTTTTCTGCATAGTTCAAATGTTTCACCATTACAGCTCCCACTTGATCAAGAGTTACTGATTTTTCATTGATGAAACAGGTATGAGAGCACTTTTATGTGCATTGAGAGAAGGAGAAGCGCGTATTCAAAAAGATATTATTTTTTAAATATTTTACTCAAGTATCAATCCCTTCTTTAAAAAAGTTGAATTTATCGATTTTTTATAAATAGCGTATGTGATAGAGTATCATCTTAGATATCAAATGCACTATAGTTTACATTATTGACGATGGTTGTTAATAATTTTACAGAGGCTTTTTTTAGAGAACATCTCTAAAAAACGACTACCTTCAACAATTCTATGTTTTCTCTATCTCAAATCGTGATAATAAATCATGTTTTGTTTCATTTTGTACAATCTATACTTCTGCAAACTGTTTTGTGTTTTATTTAAATGAGATTTCGCTTTTACGTTTTCCTACATCCCAAATGTTTTCGCCATCTCGAAAGTCAGGAAGCTTGACTTTGTTTTAAATCGTAGCAAAAGTTTGACATTAGAAATTAAGAAAGCCCGATTTTTTAATTTCCCGATTGATGTCATGTGGAGAGAAGTTTTTTGAGAACTTTCATCCTAACCATTTCATATTATGACGTAGAATTTATTTCAAAATTAAACTACAGACAAATTAAAAATTGGACTTTATTATCTGGAATGGACGGAAATCAAGTTTCTGAGTATCAAGCTGAGATTTTCATTACAAAGTATCGAGCTCAAGATACGTCTACTTTGAAAATTCCGTTGAGACCATATGCTCTAAGACAAAAAGAAGATTCTCGCTGGGAGCTGCGCCTCAAAAAGATATACGATCTGATTAGAAAGCTTTTCCTTCCGTGATAATCGAGAAAATTATTTTTCAGACAAAGAAAGTCCTTCGATAGTGGAATAGTCTCTCTACATAGTCTACCATGAAAACAAGCTTTAATGATAATACGAAATATTTATTCAGTATTAATTTAGACTCGAATAGACTGAGGGAATGGAATGAAGTAACGACCTGTAATCCCATACAGGTCATAACACATACGATATTTTTCTGCCAGAGAAGAAATACTTATTCCCTCCTTATACACTTTCTTACTGCCAACGCACATTAAAATACTTTCGGGATAGTCTTTTTACTAAAATCTTTCATCTCACAATCGATCAGAGCTATGATACTCAAAGCTTTTGAACTACACGGATAAGCAATAGATCTGTCTAAGAAAAAAATTATTTGAAATGATTACAATAAATGATATCAAAATATGTGACAGATGTCCACTACTGCAGTAAAATCCCAGCTCTATCATACACACATATAGCGCGAGAAAAATGTATAATCTTTTTCTCTAAATCTATAAACTCAGATAAGTGAGCACTGATTTAGTTTTAACAGTATTCTACTCAAAATGCAGATGCTTCCAAAATCGAGGTTGCGCAAACATAGATGTGGAATAAAAATTATTTTAACTTGACGTTTTTGTCAATACTATTTTATAGATACGTATTCAAGATGAAAAACTCTGAGAAGTTAAAACCAGCGCTAGAGTCTTTTTCTTATGGCGAAATCAAAACCGGGCTCGCTTCTATCTGATGAACGAATGCGAAAACTTCGGAATTTATTCGAAAGTTATGTATACTGCAAAAAGTGGATGAAATAGATAAGCAATTCTCCTATGTATGAATACCAAAACTATGATAAGGAATTTCTTCAATCCACACGATTTGTCTTGAATGTAGCTTATCCTAAAAGATTTTCAGTTCGGATGCAGATCATATTTGAACTCATCGGTTTAATTTCTCATAGGACAACCAGTTTCATTCATAACTTGATTCTTACTAGTTATTGCTAAATTAATAGATTTTCCAACATGGCATTGGGTCAAGTTCTTTGATTCAGAAAAACTCGAAGTAATATGTTTACAGCCGTAAGATAAAGTTCTCATTGTGGACGAACAAGATCCTTCTCCATGTTGAAGGAACTTCCTGCACAGTTATGTTTCCCCACATAGATAACTAGCCTATTTTTGTTCCTTTATCTATTAAATATGACTTCGCTGCTCTTAAAATCTCTTATCAAATAGTGTTTAATGCACGTGGTTTTATTCGACTGTCGTGTAAACTCTTCTTACCAGAAAGCGACTACATCGTTCTCACAAAGAGGACATCGTGTTCACACAAACTGAGGAAAGAATTATCTTCGAAGCAGACCGAGATTTTAATGAAGCTAAGTTGTGTTTGAGACTTCATCTCTATCTGGGTCTCTTCGAAAGTTATAGTGTAAACAGGGACGAACCGATACGCTACGAAATTTTAGGAATGATCCTACGTTTCGAGTACAACAAAAACCAAGAGGCTTCAAATCTGTTGTTACGGGTACATTGTTGATACTTTGATTGTGTTCAACTAAAGGTTATAGTCTAACAGAAATTGTACTTCTGAATAAATGTTTCTACACTTTTCATCAATTGCCATATTCAGAATATCTTTATTAACGTTCACCAATGCAAAGAAGAATTGGGTGAAAGTCACCCAAGCGTTCCCTTCTAGCGTCCTTTTGGGTGATTCCAAACTGATGGTGACTTTTCACAAGAGCTTAACAATCGCTTCGTAAGGCATGGTGAGAAGATACATATTGCAGATGCCCATACTTAATTCAATAACCATCTGGGCCACGTTCATCCAGATCACCCTTATGACTCTTTCTATTTCTTTGAAATCTATGTTAACCTTGCCATTTCGTTAGACCAAAACAACCCTTTGGAATTATTTGGTTCAGACATAGATACCACAGGAATTAATAGTTAATATAAGAGTCATCTGTGTGAATTTCGTCTAGGTTTCTTCTATTGATTCTTCTTGATCACTCGAATCAGGTATTGATCTTTTCCCAGACCAAGTAAACTACCGTAAAAAATTTCGTGGCGATAACAATCACAGGACTGTTGGCCAACACAGGTCATGTGGGTGAATCTCACCCTCAAAAATGTCGAAAATGAGAACATCGAAAACAACAAAAAGTATGCCTATGATGATGTCAGAGTGAGGGTGAGGACGAAGATGATTTATGGGTGAATCCACGAGAAGCTATCCACTTTTTTGGAAAAGTGCTTTTTTAGAGCTTCAGGTGGATTCTCGATGAAAAATAGTTAGAGTGATTTTTAACATTCATAGGAATGGAAATTATCTACATGAATAGCAATCTTTCGGAACATGTGGCTAGTTTTCATGCCATTTAATCCATTTTTTTCTCATAATAATTTCATAGTAACTGATCGAAATGCATGGATGTTCCGAAAGAATATTGTATATGATTGTGATTTCTGCTTCTGAGAAAGCTGAGAATGACCCCCTATCTATTTTATATCGAGGATTAGCCTGAGGCGCTAAAAAAGCGCGAAAAAAGATTTGTTCAATGATTTTATTCAAAAATAAAATTTACCAAAAAGTGGATGGCTTCTCCTGGATTCATCTTTATATTTTCAAACTATAATGTTCTCAGCATGCCTAGGTTTGGAAGTTAGTACATTTCGCGCTTTTAATGTTTAGAATTTTCGATATATATGCCCTTCGACGTTTTTTTCTTTCGAACTTAGTTGGGAGAATCTGAAATATAGATTGAATGTACCATTACGCATCAACGTATAACTATTTGAATTCTATTTTCGTAGCTCAACTCAAAAAGCATTATCCAGACACACAGCTATTCTGGGTTATTAAACAATCAATCGATTATTTGCCTTATTGCAGCAATATCAACGATCCGCTTGAACAACGGCGTCACCTTGACGATACGGTTAATCAAATGTATACCGATGGTGTCACCTTTAACGAGATTTACACGAATACGGTTGTAACGGAATTTATCTTGACATCATCTTCCACTGCTGTCGATGTCAAGCTGGAATCCACCACTTCTCGACATCTGCGTAACATCGACCATGTCATTGTCAATACTGGTTTACAGCCCGACCGCAGTCTCTATGCAAATTTGAACGTGCATGAATGCCCTCTCACGAAGGGTCCAATAGCGTTGGCTGCTAAATTATTGTCTTCCACTAACAATGACTGTCTGAATCAAATAAGTCACGGGACAAGCAGTTTGATGACAACGGAAAATAATTTTTTTATCGTTGGTAACAAGAGTTATGGTTCTCATAAGAACTTTCTCATGAAGATCGGCTTCGAACAAGTGGATTTGGTTTTTCAAATTATCAATAATAGCCGCAAAGTATCCACGAAGGTTTTAGAAAGCTGCACACCTGTTTATGATGCATGAAGGCATTGACTCGTATAATTTCCTATGTAGATAACATTATTTCATGTAGTTTCTCTTTTCTATTTGGTCTTCACGGTATTAATAATTGATGACTTAACCACAATCAACCAACTTTTCAAGAACTAATATACACTCCTGTTGGGGATTTTCTCCAGTTTATTATCAATAAATGAAAAATAAAAAGGAGTATTTTAACCTACTGAATGCCGCTATCTTGAGTTTATCCATCGTCAGAACGGAAAAATGTCTTTTTTCGTTCTGTTACAGCGCACCAAGATCGGTATACATGAGGCTAATATTTATATAACCAGCTACGATTCAGAAGGTGAGATTATCCTTTTGCGTTCAATAATCAAGGATGAAGTTTAAAAAAAGAACGTTATCTGAAACTAAACATTCTCGGTATATCGAAGAAATTCTCAAGAGGAATATTTCAGATGTTTTACCTTAGATGGAAACCAACACTGGTTCATTTTAAATTCTACTATATGCTCGTATCCATCTCGATTACGTGCAGTGAAGAACGCTAAAGGTCGTCACAGTGATTACTGATTGTATTTCTCAAGTGGAAAAAATAAAAAGAATTCTATACCACATTCAACTCAAACATTAGGTCCATAGTAACTTATCTTACACATGCGATTAGTGCAAATTCTTCAGTTTCTATATTTTAACAGACATAGCCATTAACAACTCTGGTTTTTTAGCATCAGTAAACCCCATTTTTCATGGTCTTTTATTTGATATAAAATTCAATATGCTTCCTACTTGAGATCATAGCAATACCTCCCGTGCAAAACATTTTTTCCAACCCTGTATATGAAAAAGAGCATGATAGAAGATGGTTGATCTGATGGAAAGTATTGACTTCAATGAGCATCTGTCTAACAATAGATGAGAAATTGTGATGTTACCGAAGATGCCCATAAATCATAAAGACTCGTTGAGATAAAAAAAGGATTAACTGCACCATCCATTATGGCAGAATGAACCTATGTTGGGTAAATTTGAAGGAAACTATCTAACCAAAGTGTACCAAAGGGTAAACTATAGATTGAGATACGTCCAGAGTTATCTGTATGATAGGATTGACTTTGTACCGGTAAATCATGAATAGCTGCAGTAATTGAAAATTGATTAAGCCCATCGGTACCCCCATTTGAATTTCAAATAAGTTACACAATTAATACTGATTATTTGTGAATTATCATTAATACAACCTAATATGGCGGATAGGACAGTGCCACGGTGATCTGGAAAAATTAGAGTAAGACCAAAAACATAGAAAAAAAAACTATCTTAGTTAGTTACTGTACAGCGGTCATAAGGTCAGAGCGCGTCTCACATATATAATAGGGTGCAAAAGTTTTGGCCCTTGATAAAATATAAATACAGTAGTATCGGCGATTTCATACCTTAAAACCACGATAAATCGGCATATTCACCAGCAGATAATTGATCATGTGCGAGTTTTCAACTTCTAAATTTTAGAATTCGAAGCTTCGAGTTCTAAATTCTTAACTAATTGGCTATTAAATACCCACTAACTAAATGCTAATTATTAAATGATTAACTATATATCTTTTATTAGCTATCTGATTATCTTGAGGGTGTGGGTGAGGGTGTTGCGGAGAATGCAGATGGCAACGGCACAGTCAACGTCAACGTCAACGGGATTCGTTACCGTTAGTTGGCTGATAATTGATAGTCATGTAGTGAATAAATGATTAAGTAGTATTTATTAGCCAGGTGTTGATTACGTGATAGTCCGTTGATTGATAATAAGTAATCGTTTGGTTAATATTTAATTACCAGTTACATAATAGTTAATAATCAGTCACTCAAGGATTTACGATCAATCACTTACGAGTTGGTAAGCGGAAAACTCGAAGAAGTGGTTTAATACTCGAATCGAGTTAACGATTTCTACACTACTCATGTGCAACTGGAGAAAACACATCCTCATACCCTCAACATAGAAAGAAAGCATATTCATTTTTTTCAACGCATTTCTATTTCTTAACAATATTGTCGCAGAATTTCAATCTTTCTCAGAATAAAGAGGCGTCACTCACTATCCACTTTTGATGTTCTTTCGGAGATTGTGACAGTGACATTCCTGATTGTTTCTTCTACAGATGTCATACTTGTGTTGCCTTGTCTCTATAGGAATATTCCACTTTTTAAGGATATTTCCTTTCCTGATATATTCATATATATAGAGATGGTTTTTCCATCAGTAGTTGTTCTTCATATTTATTCCATAATAAATATATCTTACTACCGAACACAAGACGTGACAGAGATAAAAATCGATATGAGTCAGTATTTATCACTAAAATTTCGAAGTATTCTTTTTTCTTATCTATAAAATGCCTTTCAACTCTTATTCAAAACATACAAAACAGAAGAAAACCAATCTTTTTTCTACATAAAAACATGACAAATCCGCCTATTTATTTCTATCGTCCATATGAATTATTTGGTGAATTGAGTAATTTTTATTCTGCTCCTATCGAACTGGACGGAACTATTTGGCCAACAACTGAACATTATTATCAAGCACAAAAATTCACTTGGGATAAAACACATTATGAAAATATTCGACAATTAGAAACACCTCATGAAGCATTTTTATATGTTCGAGAGCATGACTTTTCCCAACGCACAGATTGGGAACAAGTTAAAGATGAAGTGATGTTCAAAGCATGTCTGGCGAAATTTGAACAACATTCCAAATTGAAAGAATTCTTATTATCAACTGGTGATCGAATATTGATTGAACATACAGGAAAAGATTCATATTGGGGTGATGGACCTGATGGCAAGGGGAGAAATCAATTAGGAGTTACTTTAATGAAAATTCGAGAATACTTCAGTAAATCGCTTCAAATTTAAAAATGAATTAGAACGAATAAAAATACTGACAATCTTTTTTGCTAATAGATTGTTGTTCAATTGACTAACTATCATTAGAAAAAAATCATTATAAAACAAAAGATATGCGAAGAAATTCAAAGACTCATCAGAATTATTTTATTTACACTGAAATCTGTTCTTAACTATAGACCTTCGTTCACATTTTCAAATTGAATAGCATAGCATTTGAAAGTAGATGTTTTACACATTACTGTTATCAGTACGATTTTTTTACGTTACATTTTGCTCTTCAACAGGCGATTTACTGATTTCATCTGAAATACAATGGTGGCAACAACATTGCAAACAAATTTTTTTTGTTTATGGCAGTCATTTAAAATGTGATAAAACGATAAATAAAAAAGGGTGCCCATGTGTTCAGATACAAAAGAAACGTATTTGCAATAAATGTGACAAATGCTTCAATAGCTTTTCGATCTTGACTTTTTTCTGCTATATTTGTTGTTAATTGAACACAAACTTTTGTAAGTGGCGCAAGTTCAGCTGAAATAATATAAATAATAATCTGAATTGTTACTATACGTAAATGTTGATGTTCTTGTTCTCGTTTTACTATATTATTATAACGCATCGTCGATCTTCTCATATTAAATCGTGCAAGATAATTAAATATAATCATTGTCAATGATGGGATAATGCCAGCAATTAACAACTGATAAATGGTGAATATCAATGAATACATATCAGGCATTATACGTTGACTAGAAATAGTTGTGAGCATAATTAGTATATGAATAGTAATTAAAGGAGAAGAGATAACTACACCAATAGCATATTTAATCGCATTCGATTGTTGAGTAAACATCCGACATGTAAGTCTTTCTGAAGCCATTGTATATGTGTTAATTGAAACTAAAACTGTAAAAATTCTTCGAATTAATAGTAATGTATGATTGATGTATATGCGTAATCTGCAGTAAAGAAGAAGTTTTGATGATATTGGATCCCAAAGATCCAATAGAGCTGCTGTAACGCCAAATATAACTGTAATTATATTTATAATTGCAACAAGTAAAAGATGAAATGCACATGAACTTGAACGTTGATTTTTTTGTAAGAAATAGAAAATACAAAATGCATTTCCAAGAATACCAAGAACAATATATGAAGGAACAACAATAGTTGTTATTCGTTCTCTAACTATATGCAACGTAATTGTTAAGTCTGACATATCTTCCCGCGTGCTAATAGATTTGAAAGAAAATAAACTGAAATGACAGTGGCAAAATATTATTGGAGAAAATCTCTTTTTTTTTCATAAAAAGTAACGCGAGCACATAATCCTTCTTTGAACTCATGGATAATCTGTTTTTAATTAGCACAGTTGTCTGAAGACATATATCTTATATGGTTATATATTTATTTGCTAGTTTAATTGATCTAACCATCAGAAAGATGGATACACAGTACAAGGCATTGTTTATTGTTTCATATAGTTTTCTATAAATCACTACGTTTTACTTACGAATATTTACACAATAAATGATATTCATCGTTTTTTTAGTAACATTTTTCAGCTTGTTGAAAACAAAGATGAAATAATTATTTCTTTATATATATTTATATAAAGTTTCGAATCGTTCTTTTCCCTTGAAAACAGATTCAACTTTGACCGAGTTATTGCAAATCTTTCTGTAAAAACGTCAAATTTTTTCTTTAGAATCTTAAGAAGAAGAAAAAATTTGCCGTAAGCATGAATATTTTTATATTAAAGCATCGATGTGAAGCTAGCACGAACAAACGATATGTTAGCTATAAATTTTTTTTACAAAGTTTCTCTCGTCCATAAAAACTACACCATTCGACTTAGAATTTAATTCTACATCGAATGGCAGTAATTTTATTCACGGGAGAAACTTTGAAAAAATTCTATTTGGATTATAAATAGACCTATAGGAAGCAAACAGAGATGTAGGTTAAATGTTTTCTAAAGTTCCTCCCGTGAATAAAAGTGCCACCATTCGATGCAGAATTAAATTTTGCGTCGAATGGTATAGTTTTCATGGACGGGACATACTTAGTAAAAAAGCTTTTCGCTAACATATTGTTTGTTCGTGCTAGCTTCATACTGATCTATTAAATTTACCAGTAGCTTTACAGAAAACAATTTTCTCTAAAGTCATCATATCCTTATTTGTTTGTATTTGTAATTATAAAACTGTTATAATATTGCTAAGTTAAATTCAGTTGTTTCATAAGATGAAATTTTCATCGAATAAAAAGTACATTAATGAACCTCTCACTATGAAGTTTTAGTGACTTTCATGTTATTCATTATCGCTGTAACAAGTACAATAAATAGGTATGAAATAACTATTGTTTTATATACAAAAATGCTCTGCACATCTCTATAAGTTTACTATGTTATGGCAAACTAAAATTCCAAACATTGGCATTTGTACTATTTGATCTGGATCTGCAAAGATAATAATGTATACCTAATTCATAATAAAATAGATTCCAAACGGATCGTATCGTTGATAATTGATTTTGTTATAATAAGAATACGAATAGCAATAATATATCAAAAGAAAATAATAAAACCAATAATTGATTGATATAAATAATGACAAAGACATTATTATTCTACTAGATAAATAAGAAAAAAAGAAAATCTTTTTAATAATGATTTACTCCATATAAGTAGATTTTAAAATTTCTAAAGTGTTATAAACATATTATTTTCAGTTGCGAATGTTTTTTTCTTCATACAATATGAAATCGATATTTATTGAAAATTATACACGTTATGAAAGCAATTGTTAATAAAATCATTCGGGATCCTTGTAACTATTCTGTAGATAGTGATCGTTCTTATTCAAATTATGAAACATTCGAGAAGATTAACATAGACCGATTCAAAAAATTTCTACTTAATCAATGTCAGACTACGTCATATTCTTTATCAATAGAAACAATCTATATAAGGTGTTGTATTTATTTTTCTTCTTTCCAGTGATAAACACGTATAAA